CATCCCCATGAGATTTTTCAGAGTTCGCAGAGGAAACTTCGACGAAGCTCACTTAAGTGTGAGACGACGCGTTCTCTTGACTGATAAGGTAAATCACTAAAAGTTAAAACCTCCATTGAATCTTCATGGCTTCTTCCTTTTTTAATCATTTTCCAGTATATAATGGAGTTTTTCAGTGACTTGCTTACATATATAATATTTCTGCGTTCTCGATTTACGAGATCCTTGATTCTCTCTAAATTCTCTAATAATATTTCTGCGTTCTCGATTTACGAGATCCTTGATTCTCTCTATAATCTCTAATCTGTCTCCTGTGAAAGTAGCTGAGGATCCGCTCGTTGTTCGTAAAGTGTGTGTGTAGAGGGAGGAGTGGAGAAGTAAAGCTGAGAAAATGGAGAACTACTTGAACGAAAACTTCGGCGATGTGAAGCCGAAGAACTCGTCTGATGAAGCGTTGCAGCGTTGGAGGAAGCTCTGCTGGATCGTGAAGAATCCTAAACGGAGGTTCAGATTCACGGCTAATCTCTCCAAGCGTTCCGAGGCGGAAGCGATTCGGCGTTCCAATCAGGTGCGTTTTCCTACTTTTGGGTTGCTACTGAAAAACAAAATCTTTCTATTCTGGCTTATATATGCTGTTGGAGATCTCGTGAATCTCTTGCGTCAAGCACACTCCGAGTTTTGCTTGGTTGACTCACTGTTGTTTTAGAACCAGTTACTTCTTTTTCTTCTTGTTTGTTCTTTGGATGGGATCTAAGTGAGCTCGTTTTCTGTAGTTACTTATGCCCAGTTTTGTGATCCTTATGTTGGATTTGAAACCACAACTTACTATCTTGTTCAGTTTGAAATGACAAATGCCTTTTACTTCAGTAACAGGAGATCTTTGTAGTATCTGTTTAGTTTTTTTTTTGCCTGAGTTGTGATATCGTTACCTTGAAACTTGGTTGGGAGTTATCAGTAAGTATGCCCCCATAATAGAAAATTTCTGTCAAAAACCACTGAAATGACATTACTTTTTTTTTTGTTTTGTTTCTAATATAAGACGTCAAGAGTTTAGGCTGCTTGTGTTGTTTTCTAGTAAGAGTGTTCAGGGGTTTGTGCTTTGTTCTAATACCAGTTTCCTCTGTCAACGTTCTGAATTCAGGAAAAATTTCGAGTGGCGGTCTTAGTTTCACAAGCTGCACTTCAATTCATTAACGGTGAGAATAAGACTAGTCCTTAAGTGTTGCTCAATATGTATTTTCTTTCCTTAACGAGAATGTATTGCGTGCTTACAGGCTTAAATCTGTCCAGTGAGTACACAGTACCTGAAGAAGTAAGAAAAGCAGGATTTGAGATTTGTCCTGATGAGTTGGGATCGATTGTAGAAGGCCACGATGTGAAAAAGTTGAAAATTCATGGTGGAACTGAGGGCCTTACAGAAAAACTCTCCACGTCAATTACTAGTGGCATTGGTACCTCTGAAGAGCAGCTGAGTCTAAGAAAAGAAATTTATGGAATCAACCAATTCACAGAAAGTCCCAGGCGTGGCTTTTGGTTATTTGTTTGGGAAGCACTTCAGGATACAACCCTCATGATTCTAGCTGCATGTGCGTTTGTATCGCTTATTGTTGGGATACTGATGGAAGGGTGGCCAGTTGGGGCCCATGACGGACTTGGTATAGTGGCGAGTATTCTGCTTGTTGTCTTTGTCACTGCCACCAGTGATTATAGGCAATCCTTGCAATTCAAGGACCTGGATGCAGAGAAGAAAAAGATTGTGGTTCAAGTTACAAGAGACAAAATGAGGCAAAAAATCTCAATATATGATCTACTGCCTGGCGATATTGTTCACCTTGGCATTGGAGACCAGGTTCCAGCTGACGGGCTATTTCTCTCAGGGTTTTCTGTTCTGATAGATGAATCGAGCTTGACTGGAGAAAGTGAACCGATTAGTGTCAGTGTGGAACACCCCTTTCTTCTTTCCGGTACCAAGGTTCAGGATGGATCTTGCAAAATGTTGGTGACTACAGTTGGGATGAGGACTCAATGGGGTAAATTGATGGCTACACTAAGTGAAGGCGGCGATGATGAGACACCTTTGCAAGTAAAACTAAATGGTGTGGCAACCATCATTGGTAAAATAGGTCTATTTTTCGCTGTCATTACGTTTGCTGTTTTGGTGCAAGGATTAGCTACTCGGAAGCTCCAAGATGGTTCTCACTGGTTCTGGACTGGTGAAGAACTGATGGCGGTGCTGGAATATTTTGCTATTGCTGTAACAATTGTTGTCGTTGCGGTCCCAGAGGGCTTGCCGTTGGCTGTGACATTAAGTCTTGCTTTTGCCATGAAAAAGATGATGAATGACAAAGCTCTGGTGCGCAATCTAGCTGCTTGTGAGACAATGGGATCTGCAACAACTATTTGTAGTGACAAGACCGGAACTCTGACAACAAATCACATGACAGTTGTAAAAGCCTGCATCTGTGAACAAGCCAAAGAGGTTAATGGTTCTGAGGCTGCTATGAAATTTGCCTCTGGTATCCCTGAGTCTGCTGTTAAAGTTCTACTGCAATCTATATTTACTAACACTGGTGGTGAGATTGTTGTGGGCAAAGGAAACAAAACAGAGATACTGGGATCACCCACAGAAACTGCTCTGTTAGAATTTGGGTTGTCACTCGGAGGGGATTTTCAAGAAGAAAGACAAGCCTCAAATGTTGTGAAAGTTGAGCCCTTCAACTCGACAAAGAAAAGAATGGGCGTCGTCATTGAGCTCCCTGAAGGACATTTACGGGTGCATTGTAAGGGTGCTTCTGAGATAGTTTTAGATGCCTGTGATAAGTACATCAACAAAGATGGTGAAGTTGTTCCCCTTGATGAAGAATCTACTAGTCAACTAAAGAACACAATCGAAGAATTTGCTAGTGAAGCACTTCGAACTCTTTGCCTCGCTTATTTGGAAATCGGTGATGAATTCTCATTAGAAGCTCCCATACCAAGTGGTGGATACACTTGTATAGGTATTGTGGGCATCAAAGACCCTGTTCGCCCTGGTGTCAAGGAGTCTGTTGCGATTTGTAGATCTGCTGGCATCACTGTCAGAATGGTGACTGGAGATAACATTACTACAGCAAAGGCCATAGCCAGGGAGTGCGGGATATTGACGGATGATGGCATAGCTATCGAAGGCCCTGAATTTCGGGAGAAAAGTGAAGAGGAATTGCTCAAGCTAATCCCAAATTTGCAGGTGATTATCTACCAAATACAAATTGCTAGTATTGAATTATACTCTTTTGTGCAGTCTGTGTTGGTAGTTCAGAATCAATTGATCCGCAAACAGGAAACGAACTCCGAATTGCATATGCATAATCTTCAGGGTTCTAACAAATTCCTTAGGACGTACTCTTCTACAAGGGATTCAAACATTCATTTTCTTATTGCAGGTGATGGCTCGATCGTCGCCCATGGACAAGCATACTTTGGTGAGACACCTCCGCACAATGTTTCAGGAAGTCGTTGCAGTGACAGGTGATGGAACAAATGATGCTCCTGCCCTTCATGAAGCTGATATTGGACTTGCAATGGGCATTTCTGGAACTGAGGTGTGTCCTCAGTCTTCCTTATCCCTATTTCGTTATCTGGTTTATGAGGAATGATAGTATCCGCTGCACACAAAATTCGAGTCTGGATTCTCATGGAAGAACATTGTTTACATAGCTCCAGTAATTCAAAGAAGAATGGAGTTGACATATTTTATTGTCCAATTTTCGTAGGTGGCTAAAGAGAGTGCGGATGTGATTATCCTCGATGATAACTTCTCGACAATTGTCACAGTGGCGAAATGGGGACGTTCTGTCTACATAAACATTCAGAAATTTGTTCAGTTCCAGCTTACAGTAAACGTTGTGGCTCTTATTGTCAACTTCTTATCAGCCTGCCTTACTGGTTAGTTTCAAACCACATTTCTCTTTCCCTTGTTCTAAAGACCAATTATCTCGTTAAGGATTGTGACTAACTGCTCTGTTGCATTGATTGCTACTGTGTATCTCAGGAAACGCGCCGCTTACAGCTGTCCAGTTACTATGGGTTAACATGATAATGGACACACTTGGAGCGCTTGCGCTAGCCACTGAACCACCACAAGACGATCTGATGAAGAGAACTCCAGTGGGAAGGAAAGGAAACTTCATAAGTAATGTAATGTGGAGGAACATACTTGGTCAGTCTCTATACCAGCTTGTCATCATATGGTGTCTTCAAACAAAGGGAAAGACAATGTTTGGTCTCGATGGCCTCGACTCTGATCTGACACTCAATACCCTAATTTTCAACACCTTTGTCTTCTGTCAGGTAAACTTTCCTCAATCAGAATCTCAAAAAGAAACAACCTGCCGACATTGACCCTAACCATGTTCTCTGTCGATAATCTTTTTTTCAGGTGTTCAATGAGATAAGCTCAAGGGAAATGGAAAAGATTGATGTGTTCAAGGGGATACTAAAGAACTACGTATTCGTAGGAGTTCTAGCGTGTACAGTGGTGTTCCAAGTCATCATAATCGAGCTACTGGGAACATTTGCAGATACAACACCACTAAATTGGGGTCAATGGTTCGTTAGCATCATGCTAGGGTTCCTTGGCATGCCTGTTGCTGCTGCCTTGAAAATGATCCCCGTTGGTTCACACTAAGTCTTTATTAGCTTTGAAGGGTATCAATTTTTTCTCCGGCCATGGAAGTTTGATTATCCCCAAAGGCCCTGGAAAATATTCACTTTTTTTTTTCCGTCTTCTTTTAGGAAATTGTAAAAGTGATATCTGGAGGAGCATCTGCTTCGTAAATTAATGTTATGGAACTTTGTTACTTTATCTATCGTTAATCTGTAGGATACCTTCACTGAAAGAGTGAGACGTGACACTTGTAATCTGGTGATCCTTCACCTAAGGGGATTAAAAGAAGTTCCCTTATGCCCAAGTCCTGGCCGAATCTGAATTCTGAACCATGAGATAAATGTTTACACAGAGAAAACTAAAGTTGTATGATAATAAGCTCTTCGAATACTGCGTCTCAGCTCAAAGTACAATTGGTCAATGGTTTAAGAGCAACAACTGTTGTATCATAGAATAACACACTAGAGAGTAATTAAGACTAAAATAGTGATATAAAAATCTAATGAAGGGACCAATAATCAGAAAACATGAAACAGCAAAAGTGATTCTATGGTATAAATCAACAACAACAACAATGCAGCACATGAGTTCGCAAAGCTTCAAAATCAAATGTAAAGTCATCATTCATTCTCCACTGTAGCTGCATAATGCCCAACGTTCATATTCTGCAATCATAAGTTGGAAACAAAAAGCACTTTCATTATATTTTCTGCACAACAAAATGTCCCAGAGAATATAATCAATCACGATTTATAATTACCTTAGCTAACATCCTTTGCGTGTTAAGGAATTGTGTCCTTGCTTTGTTGAGAGCTGAATTTGGAGATTTAAACAACCTCTGCCACATAAATAATGGGATGAGAACATAAAATATCACTCATGGGTAAAAACTGGACATAATCAATGCCTTGCAATTAGAGGACCAAAGAGGAATGCAGTCACACAAACAAACCTTTTCGTCTCTAGACATACTGGATCCACTCTTTTTTGGAGTGAAACTAAACACGTCATGAAGAAATTCATTCTCCTGGTTGCCAAAAGGAATGAAACAACAAAGCGTCAGCTTTTAAAGAAAGAAAACCTAAGAGAGAGTGAACACTTAGAAAGAAAGGCAAATAAGAAAACACACCTGCATATGCTTGATAAAGCCACCCCCAAGGAAATGCTTCAAAAAATTCAACTGTTGAAAAGCAACATGTAAGTGTTAGAACCAGTGACAAGAAATCCACAGAAAGAACAGAACAAGTCCTATAAAGACTGAGAGAAACCTGTATCATCTGATACCACGTTGAAGTCTGTAAAGAATCCCCTCCGACCTTTGTAGATGTTTCAGGTGCATATCCATGCTAATCATAATTAAACAACAAATCATCAGTAAAATTCCGACCAGGAGAGTCAAACGTAAACCTCATCAGGAGAACATATCGAAAAAAAGTTGAAGGTATACCTCAAGAAACTCAACAAGGTCTCTGAACATATTTCGTTGGGTGTTGAGATCTTTCTTAGCAGAACCTTTACCACCTGCCTCTGCAGAGAGGTCCCTAACTTGATTAGTGACTTTAGATTTCAAGCCATGCATGTTAATCAATGCCTCCTGAGACACACTTCCTTCTTTCACTGATCCATTAACAGACCCTTTGGCTTCGGCAGAGAACTTCTCTAGAGTTCCCAACTCAAATATAATCGCAAGCGCTTCACCAGCAGCTATACGTACAGATCGGTCATCCTTTTCCAACAGTGAGGAGAGATAAGTTACGATCCTGCAATGAAGACATCAATATCTAATCAGGAATATAAATCCATTGATAAGTGACACACTAGGTCAAATAAATGCCTGAAGCTCCACTTACTCTTGCCAAATTTTGGGACCTAGGGTCCATCGATCAACTGTTGTGAGCAGAAACGCCCAGGAAGAGACAACAGTAGTTATTACAGCAGGTGAAGGTTTGGTTGCAACAACCTACACAAAATGCCAACTTACATGTAAGCCTACTATATACTTTAGATTAAACAATCCACTTTCTTAATAAACCAAATTAGCAATGAAATGGCAGATTATTTGCATAGATCTCTCGGTTTAAATATGAGAAAAGAGTAAGATGCATACATTAGAACCTAGTTTGGGGTGAATCATTTGCCATATTATTTGCATAGATTTCTCGGTTTGCTCTTCATTGGTCCCACCAACAAAGGTTATGACCGCTAAACACTCAATAATCTGCAATGAAATGGCAGGATATCAACAAGCGTGAATCCAAGATGAATCTTATTTAGAAACCTTAAACAGAATAACAAAGCACTCGATCATCAAATCATCCATACCGAAGTTATTTTCAAGACTTCACGGCCAGATTTAAGGGCCTGAGAAAGAGGAGTGACCGATTCTTCCAGAATCTCTTGTGCTTGATCCCCGAGTCCAACAGTCAATGCTAGCAACCCTGGAAACACCACATTAACTATTAATATAGCTAAAAAAAAAAACTGCTGAAGATGATTGATAAGTTGCCTTTTACTCAGGGACACTAACCAATAACATGTGATGCTAAGGAGGTTTCCTTACTGGACCCTTTCTTGGTGCAGTGTAAACACTGGTGCAATAAAGTGGCAAACCTGCATCGTTAAGAAGAAACATTAGACAACAATCAGGTGTCAACAATACTGAACCATAGTTAGTTCTGTATGATTTATGATTAACTAAACGGAACTCTTAAATTTTTGAAGTGGAATGTTAAACTAAATAAGGAATAGAGTATCAGATGGTTACTTCTTTTCTACAAACTCATGCTGCAAGTCGTTGTTAAATGCGTCAATAATGGAGGCCAAAGCTTGCTCTCTCGTTGAGCTCCTTCACATCCAGAAAAGAATCCAAATAATATCAGCTTCGCATCAAAATCAAGCAAAAGCACAATAAAACTCAAAAGTTCTGAAGAAGGATCAAACCATCAAAAAGAAAGTGATGGACAGAAAAAACCTACCTTTTCTCATACAATGCATCAAGGGATTGATCCAACATAACATCTTTGTGAACCTGAACTTCATCCATGCCGGGTCTCTCAGATCGCATGGTGGAGGAAGAGCTAACACTACTTGTATCATCATCACTATCAAACAAATCCTTAGGCGCATTCTTACGCTGAGATTCTGCAATATTTCCAGCAAAGTGAATCTTAGTTTACTATATCAAACGAAATCAACTTCCAAACCACACCAAGAAACCAAACTAGTAATAAACGTCAACAATTTCTAACGAAAGCAAATCAGAGATTTAGAAGTATATTAATAAAACTCGAACGCAAGTGAACCTTAGACAAAGAAATCCAGGTAAAATTGAACCAAATACAATCAATAATTTTCAAAAGAAGCTTAGTCCTCTGCATCATTTCGTATATCAAATATTCAAATCCAAATCAACTTTCTGACGGGGTGGAAGAAGCTATAAAGCTCAGACTTTTCTCTTAAGGTTATTATTGAATCTCAAAAGCAAATGTGTTTGTCTACTCACAACTGAAGAACTTATATATAAAGAGTTTTCTCTTAAGGTTCCTAATGAAGCTAGAAATAACAACATCAAATTTCTCAATCAGAATAAATTTGTTAATGTCAACAATTTCCTAAGCACCCAATTGAAATTGAAACCCAATTCGAATCAAATAAGATTTCAAATCGAGAAGACTAAGCTTACTCTTCCCCATGGTTGTTGTTGTTGTTGTTGTCTTGCTGGTGATTAACTCTTTGCGGAAATTAGAAACGCGTCAAAAGGGCTAATAAAGAAACTGAAAACTAGAAGAATTACGATCGGAATCAAGTGAAGAAGGAATCGAAGCACGAAAACTACAAAAGAAGAGCAACAAAAGTCTGGAAGAAAACGAGGAGGAATGAGATCGGAGAGGCGATATATCCATTAAAAAGCGAATGTTCTATTGGGAGAGAGACGAGAGAGAGTAGAGAGAGGTCGAGAAAGTTTCAGACTTTCGTCTTTGCCGAAGGAAGAAACGTGAGGAGGAAATTAGTGAGTTTTTTATATGTAAGAGGCGTAGAGGACTCGACTCGGTGAAATCGAAGAAGAATCAAACCATTTACACCTACGGAATATGCTCTTACACGTGGCTCCGTTTTCGCCGTTAGATCCTCACTTGCCGACGTGACTATGATTCATTTTCTTTGGCCACACCTACATTTTTATAATTTATAGTTTTTCCATTCTCGTGTAAAGTGTTTTAGATCTTGTTTTAATGTGAATCTTTAGTATATACCTGATCGAAAAAAAAACTTTAAATACTTTACCGATATATTTTTGTGATTATTTTATTTTTCAATTTTTTATGCAACATTTAATATTTTACTTACTTTAATTAGTATTTTTGGTTAGACTGTTAGAGGGGTTTAAAAACAAAAGATAAAGAGATAATTTCTAAAAATACTTAATCTATGTCTATTCATCCAAAAATAAATTTAATAAAATGCAATGGACGGATTTAGGTAGTAAATAAGGTTAATCGTCATCTAGAATATATAAAAAAATGTGGGAAGAAAGGAGCTTGATATATAGGAGAAAAAAAGAGAGTCGAAGTGTGGGCCATTAGGATCTTCTCATCTCTTGAGCTACGTAGACCACACAAACCGTGTAGTTGCTTGTCGACCCCTCATTTATTTATTTTTTGTTTTTTTTTACGTTTCTAGATTGTCTTTTTGATATGGTTATTGTCTTGATGATATTATTATTGTGCATTATGGATGGTCATTTGGATATTAGACTAACAAGTGGATGGCTTGGTATGTAATTCCTTACAAATATTCTTTTAAATGGTTTATTTTTTGGATAAAATTTTACTTTCCATTGATTAGGAATTTAGAGGGAAAGAGCAGCACAAAAACATTAACCCATTCTAAAAGAGTTAGCCACAGAGTCTCAATTAAACCAGGTGGAAAGAAAGAGAGGAATGGCCCATTTTTCAAAATTGGAACGCGCACTGAATCGTTTAGACCATCTCTAACCAATATTCATTAAAACACCAAATTTTGGTGTTGTAAATAGTGTTAAATTTGGTGTTTGGATGAATAGTAAGTTTTTTATCTCCAACCACAACACCAAATCTCACACTAAAAAAAATATTTTTATTATTATATTATAAAATTTAAAATTTTCTTTATTTTTTAATAGTTTTGATAAATACTAAACAACTAATTATTTATAACATTACATGAAAATATAATTATAATATAATATATACATTTTGACAAGACAATAAAAAAATAATAATAGTCTTATAAACCGTTTTATAAAATCTTATTAACCCTTATAAAAAAATTTATAAACTTATAGAAGTTATTTTATAAATCCTATAAACCTTTATAAGTAATTTTAGTAATATAAAAGTTATAAGTAATAATAATATAATATGAAAGTTATAAATAATGATAATATAAAAACAAAAATTTAGTATATTAATTATAGTTATGAAATTTAATCAATTGATAAATAATATAATATTTAAATTATAATAAAAATAACAGTAAAATATTATTATATTTTTAGAATTTTGTGAATAATGCAACTGCAAATTTGGTATAGCACTATTCACAAAACTCTAAAAAATAAAAAGATGTTGCATTTGGCGTCCCATTAGAGATGGTAGAACTCTATATTTGGTGTTATAGAATCCGATTGGAGAAGCTCTAAAACGAGACGTCAATGAATTGTTATTTATAATTTCTTGTCAATCAAGTATATAGATCACTTTGATTTTTAGACGTAAAAAAAAGATTACTTTGATTGTTTTTTTTTAATTGAATGTATAATTTCTTGTCAATCAAGTATAGAAATCACTTTGATTTTTAGACGTCAAATCAAACAAAAAAAAAACAAAGATTACTCTGATTGCTACAATGAGTCAAAGGGTACAAGCTAACGCAAAGGCTACAAAACCCGAAAGAAAGAAAACAAAATATGGACCTAAAAGGGGACAGTATATGGTAACGCGAAAATCCCGACTTTAGACAAAAACTGAGCCCTAGGAAAAGAGACAACAACTCCTGATGATGATGATGATAGCTGCAACTTGATCTTGTTCATGTCTTCAACATCATTCATCGTGCTAGCTGCAGCTTTATCATTTGTAGTCTTCTTTTGCTTCTTATTAACAGTACCAAAAAGCCAGTCGTCGTCAAAATCCAACGTATCGTATCGAAATTCGTTTCTTGGCTTACAGTCATGCTTCTTTCTTTTCTTTGATTCACAAGTCGTAGCAGCTTCTTCCCTTCTCCGCTTATGACTGTTCTGATCAGACAAATAGTCATCTTCTTCTTCTTCTGTTAAACAACTCTTTTCAAGTTCTTCTGATTCATCTGAGACTTGGTTGCTTGCGTAATAATCCTCTGTATCAACGGATTTCTCCTTCTTTTCGTCTTCCCGTTGCACCTTTCTCGAAGAAGCCATTAATTTTCTTTCCATCTTAGAGGTCTGAGTGAATCGAATCTAGGGTTTCAGCTCACGCCTAAGACAACTCTCTATGTGTTTGAACCGTAGAGAGAGAGGAGAGGATGAGAGAGAGAGATCCACAATTGTTTGACACTGAGGGTTACGGTCATTATTTATAGACACTGAGAGATATCTGCTGAGTGCCGACTTACGGTTTGGGGTAAAAAAAAGGAAAATCGCATAAATGAGATATAATTTTCATTTGTTTTTTTCCTTAATCCGCATCAACTCATGCTTATTAATTGTGGAATAACTATTAGGCTATTAATGGGCCTACTAGTAAATATTGTTATATTGTACGGCCCATTCAGTTTCTACATGTTAAGTCATAAACATAGGTGACATCTGACATGTATATGTGAAGAAGGCTCGTATACTTTTGTGAGTTAAAGAATAATTTCTTTTTTGTTGCACATGATGTCAATATGGCGGTGGATTTTGGTTTTCTTTCGAAAAATAAGATACACCGATTCTTACGAAGTATAATGAAATCCTCAAAAGCATAGATTTAAACGTAGTATCATATTCCCATTTATTAAAAAAAAAGTATACTGTCACCAAAAGTTATATAAATATTTATACATCAACGGAAACTTATTTAATCAAAAGAGAAGTGTTCTTCTTTTAATTACCAGAAACAAGCATTACAATCAAATGGAGGTATTGATTTTGTAACCCGTAAAATTTTGTTTCCCGTATCTAAAAAAAATGAAAACCCCCAAAAATAATCATCTTGTGCTACTGTTATGTTTCTTTTACCTCTAGAAACCAGAAACACTAGCAATGTGTTTCTTCATAGCTCTATCTTTATGATGATGATTTCTTCCTCCACCTCCACCTCTTCGTCCCCTTCCTCGACCCCTTCCACCTCCATTCTCCGCCTCTGTAATAGCCTCTGAGTTGTTATTATTCTCATTACTCTTCTCTTGCGGCTTCTCTCTGTAAGACTCTCTCGCCATTCCTCTTCCTCTTCCTCTTCCTCCGCCGTTTCTTCCATTCTCTCTTCCATCGCCTGCGATCACGTTCATATTAGACTGACCCTTTTCATCTCTCTGTGCCTGATACTCCGTCAGCTTTCTAACCGCCCCGAGAGGAATGTTTCCTCCACGTCCCAAGCCAAGTATCATATCTCCCTGAGCTTCATTTATCAGTGAAGCTTCGTTTGCGTTTGCTACCGCAACTGCGCCTGCAACCTTGTAACTGTAGTTCTTACCATCTTTTACATAGAATTGAGGATTCTTTTTGCTTCCCCACTTTGAAGCAGCAGAGGGTTCAGATCCTGCTGGGTCAGCTCTGTTACCAAATGACTCGCTTTCTCCCGTAGCTGATTCCCCAACACTGAAACCAAGATCATCAAAAGAGTCGTCGTATTCATCGTCGTACTCATATTGTGCAAGTAAGGCCGCGTTTCTCTCTCTGTCGGTTTCTTTTCTTGCATCGAGAATTTTGTAGTTTGGAGTATCATCCTTGGGCTTTCTGACAAATCTGCCAGCCGTTGTGGATGAGGCTGATGAAGCTGGAAGTGAGGGACCTGTGATCGGTTGCTCCGTGTAGTTACCAGAGCTACTAGTGTCAGCTTCGATGAGCTTTCCTTTCCCTTTGTCTTTGCTACTAAGAGTTGGAGCAGATTTAGGTTGCGGCATCGTCTCCAGTGAAGTATCCAATCGCTGCAAATCGTCATGGAGTGTTCCTTCAAGAATCCTCTGTATGACTTCTTCTGGGTTCTGGTTATAAGCTTCAAGACACGCAGCTAAGAAACCATTCCCATACTCAGGGAATATGTCTTTTATTTGACTGATCTTGGATTGCAAAACAACAGCATTTTCATCCATAAGCTCTTTGGTGTTTCCACCGTCAGTTAGAAGAAGCGGCGACTCCTTCATCGAGACTGTGTCTGCAGAATGCAACATGATCATCGACAAATATTGAAACTGCTCATCTTCCAGTGATACCCATCCTGCGTAGAAACCAATATTTAGACCATACTGTTTATAACTCATGGCATTAAGTAATCAGACCTCCTATGATACAAAGAACTAGCTTTTGCAGAAACTTACACATTAATTGCACTAGCTAACAGTGGAATTAATAAGATGCTTATTTTATCCTCAGTAAAAATATCATAACATACTAAATACTAGTACCAACATTGACAAGAAAACTCAGGTAATAGCTGCGCGGAACCAGCTTGTGCAAGAAAATACCTGCATTCTGTAAACTCCTAAGTCTATCAATTATTCTGTAACTCTTCTCAATCTTATGAAGTAATCGGTTCTTGCTTTCCAGTGACTGCTCGGAAACTCCACCGATCTCCCTGAATGTTTGGATCAGTATATCTGCCCTTACCATAGGGTCCTCTACACTTGACGGGAGCATCTTTGTGACAGATGGAATTGAAGATTCGTGATTGAACAAATCATTTCTGAGATAACAGATATCTAAGATTTTCCAGCATAAACTTCCTATCCTTGTTGACAACATGTTTAAACTCGTTGATATGTCTGAAAGAGAGTCATGGTCTCCATCCTTGAGCAAGACTTGAAAGCCACGATGGAGTGATGGAAGCAATACATCATGCAATCGAACAAGGCTGCGGAGAAGTTCATCGCTCCCATAACTGCGTAAATGGATTTAGGTTATGATCAAACCAAATCCAAAACAAGCCAAACATAGATCACTAATAGCAAAAAAAAGGTTCCACTATCCAGTAACAGATGATTTCTGTCAGCGCATCATGTATGATAGATGCAAGACTTGGTGATACTACTCAGAGTACATGTTTAACGGTTTCTCCAGCTTACATTCTCTCCCAAGAGAAATTGAAAGATTTAAACTGAAGATGATGCCTACCTTGTCTCAACAGGGCATGCCAAGATTAACGCTGCTGGTGTATAAGCAGAAATGAAAGCATCCAAAGACACAACTCCATCATTGATAAAGTCCATAACCTAATCAGATAGAAAAACCATTAGCACAATTTCTGCTGGTGTAAAGCGCACGCCGTTTTGAAATATTTTATCGCAGTACAAATTCTTCGTTGGAAACTGTTACACACAGCGATGAAATCTGCCTTTCCATTTGCCATAGAATAAGATTTTCGGTATCACACACTAGTAATAGTATAACATTTACTTTATGGTATGTTCAACATTCCCCAGCTCACTCCACTCTAATTAGGAGCGCGAGTTCAAATTGGCTGAAACAGGAATAGTTTAACTTTAATATACCTACACATCCTGATTTTCATATATCCAAGATGACAATCTGAAAGAAGGGAAGCATCTACAAAATCCTGACCGATGTATCAAGGTCGTTTCAGTGTAACCATTAAAAAAGATTTAAAACTGGGAACAGTTTTCATTTATTTCAAAAATTTGTGTCCTTACAAGTGATTTTAATTTTGAAATTACTTTTCCGAGCAAGGAAAAAAAAATTATGTTTCAATATCTTAATTGCCGATGTTGATAGTTTCAGATTTTAATTCTACTTTTCCCAGCAAAGAAACATTTTATCAGTTAGTTCCTAAACTCTGCTACTGATAGTTCTAGTTACGACACGAAAAGCAACGCAGCACCAGGAACTATAATGCTACTAGTCTGATGTGTCTACAGAAGCAAATGCTAAATGGTACTATGTAAAAGCAATTTTATCAGCAGAGACATAAGTAGCAAGAAACAGAGGAATACTCGCCTCCAAAAGGTCAGAATGGAGTTGTCTACGTCCATGGTCTTCACTATTTGCACTCGATAACAAGGTCTACAGATTAAAAATTACCAAAATAAGATTTTTTTAGCCCAAGAATGTTAAATTCAACACTTAATTTGATCTTATACTTAATATAATGTGTATATGCATATTTAAATTTTCTAATTTATCCCAAAGTGAAGCTTCTGAATCAAATATAATAACATACCTCCAACGATGAGGTGCAACGGTGATGCATTGTGTGCAGGATGCCCAAGAAATGAGATAACATCGTATTCACACTATCAGGAATCCTGGTTTGTGATTTCACAGCATTCTCAATCTGGGAAAATGGACAACGAGTTTAGCAAAAGAATAGAAGATTATCTCAGCTTTAACATCCAGCGGCAATTAGGAATCCCAGGATGTTAAATGTCACAGAAAACAAAAAATCGTAGCCCAATAAGCAATCTCAGCTTTCGGACCAAGTAAATTTTCCTGGAATGACTTACTAAAGATTTTGTGAGCTCTGCATTCTCATGTCCATATATAGCGCATATATCCAATAACTTTGGCAAGTCCAATAACTTCTTTTCCTGCAAGAGAACTACAAACAAAAATGGTGAACAGCTGTAAGCTAGAAAGTGATCTCAAGCAAATCCCACGAGTCACGCCAGGCACAACAAAAAGCATAAAAGAAGAATGTTATTAATAATAGGGAACAGGAACTCAAGTTTACTGCAATCAAATGACGAACTAAATTTATCTTAGAAAATTTTGATCAATGAGAGGACTTCTCTCACTACCCAATTCTAACCAATCCCAGTATATACATGAAGAACCACATGTTCTACTGCTAGCTCTATTTAACCGAGCCCAAGACTAACAAACTCTAGTCAGTTACCTATGGCGAGCTGGTCGGAGAATCAATATTTTACAGATTATGCTAACCAACATACAATGATATACCCCTGAGCACAAACGCCAACCAATATAAAAAACTTCTAAACATACGACTTGTATGCTTATCTAAAACCTGACTGGAAAGTGAACAGGAATCCAAGCGTGACGCATGCCAATCGTTTGTTCTACGTTTATTTCATATTTTAGAACAAAATAAGTGACAACAACTCAACAGACAAAGAAGCAAAAGGCCACCTTCATGATCTTTCTGACTAAGACTGTCAGCAGCTCGAGCACCGGGATCCCTATTGGAAGATCTGCCACGACCAATATACAAACTCATCAACTCACAAGACCCAAACGCATCAAAAATAACGAATTGTCATTGTATCCAGATTCGAACAAGACTATTCGACTGAGGCTAGAGGTTATGAAACACGCATCGACTCACATTCTATACAAGACCATGAAAATACGGCGGCATAACTCGAGTTCTCCGACAATTACGCCGGCGACAATTCCCTTGACACCATGCAGAGGGAAATCATACCATCTGCTTCTAAATTGCAGGAAGCTATCCAGAAAATCGTGCAACGATGCATCACTAGCCACTGTCATCATCAATCAAAGGAAGTAATATCAGCCCAAAAATCCATCACACAAAAAGTTGAAACTGAAGAGAACAAAGCTAAACTGAATTCAAAGACACTAGTCAATGACCTTCTCTCCAAAAGTCTCTAGGATTCAGCTTGAGCAGCCTCGTGAGCTCTCTATTGAGGAGATCGACCACTCCCTGAGACTCAAGAGGATCCAAACCTCCATCCTCGGGGCCGAGACCGGCGGCTACGGCCTCGTCCTGCGGCAAGTAATTCACGAAACTCCCACCGCCTTGAGCAGGACTTTTGCTAGATACCCACTGTCCCTGATCCCCAATCCTAACCCTACTACCAACCGGAGCGGAGCCCCTGGAAGTCGCGGTTGATGAATCCGATTGCCTAAGCGAAGAAGAAAGAGAAACGGGAAAAGCGGTGGAACTAGATGTAGGAGTTGGATTCAAGGGTTTGGGAACAAACTTCTGCTGTCCCTTGGGGATGTATCTGGAATTCTCATCTTGCCGGCTCGAGCGTCGCTGAGACATGATTGTTTCAATCAGAAGATCGGCGATGGATGGAAGAAAAGTGAAGAAGCTGTAATTTAGACGACGAGGCGGGAGGAAAGGGACAATATACGCTCTCATTCAATCGATTGGGATTCCCTTAACTGCGTTTGCGATTGCTAAAAATAACGTTTTGATCATTAATGATTTAAAATCGCGGCTCAGCGTAAAATCGAAAGTCCAAGTATGTCTCGAACTAAACGCAAAACGCACAACTTTACCAAACTATTCAATTTTAAGCTAGAGGGAAGATACGAAGCGAGAACAAAACTGCAATAGCAAGTACTATATAGTTCACACAAATCTACAATTGGCTCTCCCTCAAAAAGGGAGAAAGAAAAGAGTGAGGGATTACACTAAGTGAGTTAATATACAAAGTGGTTTAGAACTGCTATCTAAAGCACAAAAACAATGAAAGTCTTCATTTACTACTCTTTGTCCCTGGATAGAGTATATGTCACGAGCACTCAGCATTTGGTTCTTTGGGCAAAACCAAACCGATCAAGCATTCGGAGGAACACGGGGAAACAGAAAGCAAGGAACATGTCTCTTGCGAGTAGGGAAGAATGAAGAGATGCCTTGCCCATATGGTGGGACTTGCTGCAGGGATCTTTATCACTCCCGCACAATCTCTCTGCTTCAAGTATGATATGAAATCTTGGAGCTGCCTCACAGAAAAAGGAAGAAGTGAGTTTGATATATACACTACACAGGAGGACACAATGGCGCTATGCAGATTTAAATGATTCAGGGTTTGAGAAGTTGATCACATACCCCTTTACGATCGTTGAAAGTTGCAGGAATCAACTGACAAACCTCCCTCTGCGAAACAAAGCTCCCAGTCAATAATTTGTATTTGGAATAGAATCAAGAGAGTGGAATTAAGAACTCACTTTGTGCGGCTGTGTATTTGTAAAAGCAGCTTTTATGTGCTTCATATCCGTGCGCTTGGTCATATCCAGTTTAACTGGCCATCTGCAGAAACCAAAAAAGATGTTCATCCTTGTAGCACATTACTTGGATTATTTATAGAGAAAGACACAATTTGAATACAAGGCATCAAATAAGAGGTGTTGCCCACTCACCGCACAGGCTCTGAAGATCCGTTGGTATATTTGCAAATATCTGATTCCAGTCTCTGCGCAATGATCGTGGAGTAATGAACTCCACTTTTCGACAAAGCACCCTGCCAATGGTGCTCTACGTTATGTTTGGAAGCATCCGGTTCAGACAACTGTGTGACCGTTGGAGGTAAGGGCAGAGGAGACGGTGGAGTACTAGGCGGAGGAGGAGCCAGAGGTGGGTGTGCCTGGGGCAGAGGGGGTGGTTGAGCTTGAGGCGGAGGTGGCATCATTTCTGGTGGCGGTGGCTGAGATTGAGCTTGTAATGGTGGCTGTGTCACAAAGGGTAACGAATGTCCTACAGGCGGAGGTGGATACACATGATCAAAATGCTGAACTTGAGGTCCTTGTGCCTGAGAGACTGGATGCACGGGAGGCGGGATAAATGGACCTGAAACCTGCTTCGGTGGAGGTCCTTGAATCTGTGATGATGTTGCTGCTGCATTACCACTTGGAGAGATTTGGTGGCCAAGAGATCTTGTATCCCAAGAGCTGTTTGGTGGAGGGTAAATGGATTGTTGAACAAATGGAGATGGAGGAATGTGGGATGTCGGTGTAACAGGCTGTCCTGGAGCAGGCATGGGCACACATGAAGGAGTCCCTGAGACTGAGGAAAGGTTGTCTTAATATCATACAAAAATCTTTGCTGTCACAAGTGAAAAACTATTCATGATTCAGGACAGATAAGAGACAAAACTAACCTCCTTGTGCAGGAGCAGAAGCAGGCCAGTTTTGCTGAAAGGGAGCTCCAGGAGGTACAGAATTACAGTGGTTATCCGTACTCATTAAGGGGGACACGTATTCCCCTGATCCACTATCCGGTTTTGATGTGGGAGGCACTTGAAGGTGCCGCTCTGGATGACTGTCCAGACAAGAAACCGCCACATCAAACCAAAGAGACAAATGAAAAACAACACAAAGTGCAAAGCTATACCAAAAATCAGGACGCTTGAGAGTGTGAGAAGATAAAAAGTCTAACGGATATTAAAATATCACTAAAAACGTCAACAGTTCAAAATCATCAAAGAAATTATAGCTTGGAAGAAGCGGAGACAAACCTTCCTCCATCTTCATGAGGCAAAGGACGATTGACTGATGCCAAGTGAAATTTACTCTTTTCTCCGCGATAAAACCTGAGATGGGCCATAACAATGGCAGCATCATCAGGTGTATCAAACTCCATCAGAAGGGCATGTTCATAGTACAGGTCAGTCACCATGCGAGGTCCTTTATAAAGGGCTTGCCGTGACTCATGGACAATTTCGTCCCTCTCCCACTGACTAGAGATGCTTCCAATATACAAATGAGTACAATAACCATATGCTACCCCATTCAAAGATCCCCTTGCACCAACTCCTATATCCATAAATTTAATGCGCCAAGGAAATTGTGATCTCAGATATTCTCGAGCTCTGATTGCATCTATTATACTTCTATATTCAGCTAGGGCAAATCCTTTCACTGGATCAAAAAAGAAACGGTCTACTGGACCGTACCTATCAAGCTGAAACCTTAGATGACCTTCAGTTTCATCTGGTCCTAAATACCCTAACCACAGTTGCCCCGAAGCCGGAAAAATGTCATAAGCAGTGGGGTCTCCATCCAAATACCAAACAATGTGCCCTGATGAAGGCCCATGGGGTGCTGCTTGATAAACAGGTGATCCTGCAAGAACAAAATTGTTCCTACCATCTGCAGAGTTACTCCTTAAATCTGAAGGCGCTCTTGCAGAAGGAGATGGTGTCTGGTGGTTTATTATTCCCCTTGGGACTGAAGATCTACCGCATGACAAGTCTCTCTGGTCAACAGTCTCAAAATCCATAGATCGTGAACCTCCAGCATCATAAACTGATCCAGCACTAGAGCGGACATCGTTTTCTGCAGAACTTTGAGGCTTCACATGTGAAGCTGAAAATTTACCATGATCATCCTCGTCACTCTCCATTTGACAATCTTCTAACTTGATATCTTTTCCAATAAATCCAAAGATTCCCTCTATTGAAGGAATAGCACTGGATATATCCATGAAAGATGACAGGGTGCATATTTTCTTATAGTTAAAGAAGGCCCACCTACCAGTAGAGGGACTCTTTCTAAGAACCTGCATGAACAATTCTTGAAACTATCAGATTTTTAGCAGTATACACCCATTAAACTTTAACCATACAGAGTTCCCAGAAAAAGAGCAAGTGAATGAAATGAGTGACACGGTTGGCGTTCAAGGCAGGAATAATATAATAACTAATGCCCTACACATATAAGAAGCGAACAAGCAAAGCAAATGCAACTTATAGTTGACTCTATACTACTCAGAGTATTACCATTCCTAACAGGCAGCTGTTTAGACTGTGGGATGCTTCTTGGATCTCACTTAACCCTTCCGCATTCTTACCAGTAGCCTCTGTTTTGTTATAACCTGTCTGACCAGAATTCTCGTCTGGTTCAGGTTCATTACTAGCGGCATCAATATCATTAATCGTTTCTGTCATATGAGTAATGAGATACCTCCCCGTAGTTACATCCTCTATTGATGACGAATTGAAGAATCCAAAACAAGTAGCAATTGAATTTTTCGGGAAGTTGAAGAATACTTTCAGTAAAGCTAAAACACGAAACTGGGATAGTTTGATCAACGGTAACGAGTTTCCATCTGAAAGTTTTTGCATCAGCTGAGAAAAAAATTCACCAGGAGGATCTTGCACCTTCAAATCGCTCTTATCAACTATCTGGAATATATCTTTTGCCTCAAAGGATAACACTAAGAAGGTTAACACATTTCTGAACACAGTAGAGCAGATATCCCGAGCCCCTGGTGATGATGCTCTGTTTGAAGAAGCAGCAGAACATAGGTCGACCAAACCAAATATGCAGGCTTTAGCAGTTTGGAAAGCAACACCATCAGCATCTTGTCCACCATTTAGTGCTTCCAAGCTGAAGTTATGCATGTCGATGACAGCTTGCACTGCGTCTCCGATAGCAGTAGGGCAGTACAGTGCATATCGAGGAACAAGATCAGCCACAAGTCGTTTAACGCTAGTACAACCTGCAAGTATAAGCAACTCACTAAATCATACTCCAACAAACTTCATTCTAACGCTTGAGAGATTGGCATTCTTTGTTTAGGTATGAATTTTTTAAAAAATCCAGAGGTCAACTGCAACTTGTACCTTTAGGACTAAATTTTTCTAACTGTCATCCGTTGCACAAATTTTCACACACCACAACCTCATGTTACATATGAATGGAACAAAAGATTAACCCCTACAACACCAGGCTTTCCTCAAGAAATGAAAAATAAATATAACCATAACTATTGATTCTTTTCGGCATTCGCATACATAGAAATCTATGGAAGGGGACAAGGGGTAACATTAAATGTAAGGAACACATGATTATCGACACAGTGTGACATGGGCAACAAAGAGAAGCCCCAACCAGCATATACATGGCTTTATCAAGCTTTGACAATGGTTGAGAAATCCTAATTCCATCCAGGAGACTCAAGAAAAAATAACTTTTGTGATATTCTAACTACAAATATACTTAGATTTCTTGGCAGAGAGAATGAATCTATCGCATCGTGTTCTTCTGCTCTACAGCTAAGAGTTCAGACACAAAAGTCATAATGCTAGAGCTAATGGATGATCATGAATTCATTTGAAAGCTAAAACATTTGGGCTCCGAACCCTAGTCTTCACGTAAATCAGTTAAGAAAAGCCGACTACAAGTATTCTTTCTCATACAAAACATATCTAAAACTCAAATGGAAAACAAAACAAAATTCGAACTCCATCAACTCAGAAAAACGGCAAATTATCAATCATCCAATTAGTAAACCTGAATAGAACGGAAAAGAGAGCTAAGATTGCGAGAAAAAGAAACCTCGGGAAGCGGAGATGAGGGAGCGATACGCTTGCTCAATAATCGCAGAGCGGCCGCCATCTCTCTGACCGATATAAGATTTGAGACGCTTATAGCACTCATGCACTCTTCGAATCTCTTCTCTGTTCCTGCTTCTGCTTTGAATTTCCTCCTGAGATAGAGGCGGCGGCGTCACCGGAGCGGGGAACGAGCTCACCAGCGCAGGAGTGGGTGGGGACTCTGCTTGCGGTGGCGGAGGCTGCGGTTCAGGGATTGACTCATACAGCCGACGCTTCTTGATAGGCTGCTCGGCGCAAGCCATGGCAGCGACGGGGAGAGATAGCGAGAGAGAGAGAGAGAGAGAGAGAGAGAGAGAGAGAGAGAGAGAGAGAGAGAGAGAGAGAGAGGCTTCCCTCTTTGTTAGTGGTTTTAAGACCCTCTACCTCGCCGAGGGGCTTCACGGTGACGATCACGATACGATTTTGGTTTGACTTAAAATTGCTTGTTTTAAACATCAAACCGAACCGACATTAGAACGTACAATATACCGTAGACATTTTACTTTGCTTTCAGTATTCTAACCGTTTTTTTTTTCAGTAAAAAGTATTTGTATAATAATTACTGTATAACCTCTATGTTGAGATTATTTAGGATTATGATATTTTATTAATTTATCGTGATATTAATTTATTTATAAATTAATAATTTATATAGAATATTTTTTTAGCATATAATTTTCTAAAAATTTCTTTGGAATAGTGTTATATTTCAAATTTTAACAAATCTCATAATATATATTCTGATTAACAATCATAACTATCGCAATAAAATAGTTTTTAACACCATATTAGATCGTCTATGTAAATATATATATATGTTTCATAAGTTTAAAATATAAAAAAACAATGGCTACTATCACTATTATTGATAATAAAATTAAAGATAATAGTACAACACATTTAAAAACATTTACATGTAAGAAAATCAATTATCACATCAAAAAAATCATCATAAATTTTAAATGTATATAGTAAAACAGCAATAAAAGCTAATGATATAATAATTAGAGAGATGAGAACCAAAGATCTCAACTTTAAATAAATAAAAAAATTAGTCATATTTTAGAATATTATATTTACATATATTTACATAAATTTATATAATTATTAATTTATGTTTTTGTTGGGACCATATATTTACATAAGGGTTTCAAAAAAAATTATTATCTTATTATTTTATCGAATTTGATGGATTTTTACATTGGCCCGACTTGGAACCAGCAAAATTTATTAATTTATAGTGATTATTAATTTATCGAGTATTAATTTATAGAGGTTCTACTGTAGTACAGTTGTGATAACAATTCTTAGTATTTTAGTATTTTGCAAGCAAAGTCGATATTTTTTTTAATTTGAGTATTTAATATAATAAATTTTTCATGGCTATTAAGTTTAGAGCTGTGCTTGAGCACAGACTAATGAAGCATGTGTTTCAGGGCTGGAGAAGTTAAATATTGTTTTTGGGCCAATTTTTCAGAGTTGAAGTTAGTTCAAGTGGTTTGTGAATAGGTAAAAGCATGTTTAGTTAAAGGTTTGTTTGGGTTCGACTTTTCCCAAACGCATATATGTCATTTTTTCTTCTTTTTGTCAATTATTTGTGGGTTAAGTTGCATTAAGAAGAGTTTTAAGGGGCCAATTTTTTTTCTCGCTTATAGTTAGAGAAATCTCAGGCACGGTTCTGATTAAGTTATAAAATTGTTATACATATATTGTACAAAAACTGCCTAAAATGTCTATATTCTGATCAAAAGTTCTATGTATTGGGTATTGGGTACTTGGGTTACTACTTAACGTTTTGTTTTAAATATTAATAGATACTAAATTTTAAAAATAAGTATTTGCTCCGCTGAAATATAAGAAACTTTAATTTTTTTTGTTGGATTCCAAAATATGAGATTGGATGCTTGACTTATGAAATGTGTTACGTAGCAATCAACAATGGGGCGTTTGTTTCGAGTTTCTCTCCACATTTAAAACATATGAGATTATCCATCAACTTTCATCTTTTCTCCACAACCCAAATAAAACTTATTCTGTGTTTAGGAAAAGTGTGTTTATTATTTGATTATGGTATTAAAGGACAGTTGCAAACGACAGTTGTAAATTTGAGTTAATTTGGATGAACTTTTAAAGCATAAAATAAATTAAAACGAATTAAGGAGAATATTATTTTATTTAGAGAACTTTTTCCCCATTAGTTGTGTTGAATGAATAAACTCTAAGTAAAACCTCTATAAACATCTTTAACATGAGCTCAGTCATTGAATATGATCCATAACAATTCATACAGATCTTAAGTCACTTTAACAAAGACTTTGGCATAATGTCTTTAGCGTGGGATCCTTGGAAAACAGGTAATTAAGTGGTTAACCCTCTTTTAAGTATTTTTTTTTAACACTACTTTCGGCTCGTACGTTCTCTACTGATTTTTACTCCGTAACTACATTCCTCCATTGCCAACAAAAAAAAAAACTACATTTCTCCATTGTTCTTTTTCCGCTCTTTCTTTCTCCCGTTCTTAAATTTCACGATCTCCCCTTTAATTCTTTTGTTTCTCACTAGCATCTTATTAGGAATCAGTTTTGCTACTAGCGTAGCATAGAATATGTATTCATCTTTTATCTTCAGTTGCTATAAGGAATAAAAATGCATTTAATAAGAAAATAATGTCGGCCGAAAAGTAGTATATAACTTCTTAGTTGATCTATTTTTAAATCATAGCCAAATCGAAAACCTGGCCGAATAATCCATTATATATTTGTTTTTTTTAAATCGTATGAGCAAAGACTATTATTTTATTAGTCTGAGTTGACTTTTACATATTTTAATCATAAAATTAATTACAGAAAATAAGTACCAGAAGTTCTTAGAACCATAATGACGAAAAAGACAAAAAGAAGTTAAAAGAATAACAAAAATATCAGAATGAACAACAAAAGAAAATGGTACGTTCCGAAAGTAGACCTCTTTGGTAGGGCCAAATTGACGGGATTCATATGTTCTAAATCATTTTTTTTACAGTTACATTGTAACTTTGAAGTCCTTCACATAAGCCGTGACAAAAGGTTGTGATGAAATCCCATGTCGAGTCCGTTGTATGCCAATGGTGCGTACATCCATAGATCATCCGAGCTTAACAACTACATTAATAACATATGCATTTATGGTTCGTTAGAACATGAATGTTAATTATAGAAAGATTCTAACAAAAACAAAACCCTAAAACAAGTTTTACATACCTTGATTTGAAGCTGCAAGAACTTCACGTAGTGGACCGCTTCTTCAAGCATCGTGCTTATATCCACTTTTGTCCCGTTCGGTACAAGGTTTTGCAGTGTCTTGAGCCTTTCGTTAATCTTCTCTCTTCGTTTCTGCAAACAAAAATATAAATAATAATAATTAATTAAAAACCCACCAAAGCCGTATAACAAATACTTTAAAAATTATTTTCAAGTAATCGTAGAAATTTTCACACGTTTTCTTACCCGAGCATAAAGGCTTTGAGGATCAGTAGCTGTCCCTTTGGTGGCTCTTGTTTTGCCTTTAACACTAGTGACCGAAGTTTTCTCATCATCTGAACTGTTGCTTAGGCTCTGACCATCTCTCCAATTAGTGTTGCTTTCGTCGATTGTATTGCTTTCCGGGCTTACCCTCTGCTTTTTCTTGGCTTTGACAAGCTCCTATATAACGTTGATGATATTGTATTTAGTTTATTGCATAGTAAGAATGAATAAAAGTAAAACACTATGTATATACTGATCTTTCACTTACTTGTCTTGTGACGTCACAGTTAGAGTTACTATTGTGTAGATTCTCAACGTTAAGTAGTTTCCTCTTAAGAGTTGCTGTTTCTTGGAGGTGATTTTGATCCCATGAATCAAGCATAGTCGGAAGATTCCCTCCCGGCATTGCACCAAATGGGAACATATCATGAACCAAGAGAGCATGATGATCAGAAGATAATACATTGTTCTGATGGTGATGAAGATGATCATTGTAGAGGCTAGAGAGGCCAAGCATCTCATCTTGCGGTCTCTCCTCCTTAGATGATGAACACTGATCAAAGTTGAACATCCCGAGGAGAGACTCCAATTCACCATCAACAAAAACGTCCATCGTTCTAAACTTCAACTCTTGTCTTCCTTCTTTTTCTTCTTTATGTGGTTGTTGTTATATTAGTTCTTGATCTTGTACAACTATATATACATAGGTTGGAGACACTTGATGATGAAGAGAATAATATTTCTCTTGAGGAAGATTTGGTGATGATGAAGAGAAATCAAGAGATTCTTAAACTGCTTCAATCATTTGTGTCGTGAACAAGTCGTTATTAAATAAATGAAATGAAGCCATGCATGATGATGATCACGATCAGTCAACTTGTGGGGTCGACAATGAGAGATGAGACCAGCTTTGTTCCTTCACGACACATTAATATATTCTTTTTTATAACCATCCATTCATCTCAACTTAAATTAATTTAAATACTTATATGTATAAGATGGTGAGAGCTTATTATAATAATGAGAGAGAGTTTACATTGGCCACACAAGAGATGCGGTGAAGAATAAAGATATAGCCACGCCAATGCACGATTAACGAAATCCTTATCGCAACCTCAACAACACTAAAAGAAGAAGAAATTAAAAAGAAACTTTTTAATCCATGCCGTATTAAACCTTAAATTACTAATTGTCCGGTAGGTCTCTCTTAGCTAATTTGTTTTTTGGGAGAAGATGCAGCATGATATATGAATATATCCGGCATCAATAACTTAATTTGGTTCAAGCTGTGAGTTTTTTGTTTTTGTTTTTGTGTTATGGAAGATGCATACCAGGAAATATTAATTCGTAAGAAAGATCCAAACTTATTCTGATGTGCCTACAAAGATTGATAGACTACACTCTATAACAACATAATATATTAATATGGATGAATTAAATGTAAAAAAAAAGTTTTCACACTATTCATTATCAAATACAGTGCATTTCCTTTTCCAAATTTATTTTATTAGGATGGTTGTATTTGTGTTTTCCATTATGATAGTGTGAATAGTAATATTTTAAAAGAATGTTTCATTCTAGTCAACTTTGTTTTTTAAAGATACAAACAACTGCATACATTGAAACTTAGCATGATATACGTACGGAGGGTGAAATATAATTTTTAAGCAAACTGATATTCGTTAATCCAGTTTACTTTTCATATATTTACTAGACATGAACTTTTGAAGTCGTATAATTTTTTAAGAAATACAAGAGCTTTTCATATATAAATATGTTACATATTTTCTTGTAATTGTCATTTATGAGTAAGTAAGTTTAGAATATAAAACCAGAACCCAAAGTATAATTATAATGGATGTGATAAGTAATATGAACCATCAGTGATTTAATATGCGTAAAAGTTGTAGCTTCTAGCTCATTGTTAACGCAGAATATTACCATCCATATTTGTATGTTTTTTGGAGTGTTGGATTAAACGATAGAAAACAAAAGCAGGCAAAGATAAAGGAATTAATGAAAATAAGCCACAAACTACAGGAACTTTGTATGTATTTGGTTTTTATACATTAAATTCCCGTCCACTAGCTAGCAGAAGAACTTTACACTTTTTTTTAGATGCAATTTAGACGAACTTCAACACTTTATATTATATGTTTTATATAAATGCATGGTTATCAATGTGAGATATTATATATATATATATATATATGAACATTAATTAACCTTGTTATGGGCATGCCAAAAGAATAAGCTAATTTGTATGTATTATAGTTGACTGTTTAATAGTTTTGTTTTGTTTTTTAGAGTTATCTGAACTTGTTATCTTTTTGGTCCGGCTGGGAGGCAAATTGCCTCATAAGTTATAAAAGGTCAAGTAGGTATGTACATTGGATAAAAGATAAATAAACATATTTAAAAATATTAGGACGGCACAAAATAGAGTTGGAGATTCCGACAAGATGAGATTCAAACTCGTTCGTTTGTCTTAAGATCATCCCCACATAAAATCTTCTTAATAAGTTTTAAAATAAGTATATTGAAGAAAATAAAATCACAGCTTGAAGATATGTTCTCTAAGTTTCAAAATTACAGGACGGGTTAATGTACAATGCATCTTACGGATTTGCCTATCTGTTCATTACCTCTTCTAACTTTTGAATTCCGTGCATATACTCACGGGTTCTTCGAATATCGTTTACATTATATTGTTTTTGATACTCTTATGGTATAATCGCATATTAGTTAATTATCAATGAATTAATTTGTCCGTATTGTTGTTTTTTTAGCATGCATGTTATATAAAAATAAAAGTAAATAGTGATGGCATGATCACTGCTGGTTTTCTTGTCTCGCCCTAAAGTCAGAATGTCTTCATAAATCATATATTACATTACATTTGAAAATAAATGATTTACGACGTTAGTAGTTGTGGTCTGATATTATATAGGGTCCGATGTATAAGAATGTATTATAAAAATGAGAATTTGAAAGGTACAAAAGTATGTTTGGTAGATCAATTGAACTTCGAATACGACGAATGTACTATACATAATTTATATATTTGGTGGAAGACACTAGTACACATCTCCACAATCAGAATGAAACCGTCAATTATTGAATTTTATTAAGGGTTTTTTCGTTTATAGATTAAAGTAAAGTAATAATTAAGGAATTCATCGTGATAAATTATAAGAATGCAGTTATTCAAATAATCAATAGTTGATTATACCTTGCCATTAAAGTGTACGTTGACTCTTCTAAATGGTGTACATATTTGAAATTAGCTTCTCAAAGTATTTTAGGGGTTTTCGGTATAGTTAACTTTCAATTAACTGATTAAATAACATGTAGGTTTAGGATTTCTTTTCTTATTTTTGCAACAAACAAAAATACTACTAATAGTTATGCCTAATCTTTTTAATCTTTGCATATAAACTTTTGATTCTTCTAAATGTCCAAGTGAAAAAATTGGAATGGCCTTAACTAAGGGTGTTGTGGTGGGCAAAAAGCATAACATGTTTTGAAAAAAAGGGTTATGTTTGCTTCATGCGAGATCAAATCGGCGACAACGATCGAATTCATGAAATCCGCCATCATTTTCTTTTGGTATGCCACTATTAATCACATATTGATATGCTGAACCATAAGGCTGGACCAGACCGATCGAACAATATATAATTATTCATCAAATGACCAAACTGATAATAATACAACACAATTTTGTTCGATTGGTCTACAGAACAAAAAAAAAAAAAAAGTGAATACTCTTGTAACTGTGCTATTAGGATTTGTATTCCTAGTCCTACGTGACCAAGGTTTTTGGGGTAATAAATAGGGTCTCTTGGTGTTTGTAAGACTTACTTTCTTTTGTTTACTAAACTAGAGTTTGTTTTCGTCAAACAAAAAGACTTGAGTTTTATCTCTGATCTACTCAAAAATGAACTTGGTTTCTTATGTGTACAAACCATAAACCTTCATACTACTATACGATAAGAAAACAAGTTGTAATGTTAAGGGTAGGCCCAAGCAGACCCAAATTTCTAAACCCAACGTGCATTAACTCCTCTGACCCAAGGCCCTTCTTAGAAGTGTCATATGATCATTAGAGGTGTTGTAGTCATTGGCTAGATAATTAATTTACATATGTTAAACACCACAATTATCTCCAATTAGGATTTACAATGAATCAAATAACTGGCTAGTAATACTTTAATTAATATCCACTTCTTCTTCTTTTCATTATTTTTTTCATTTTTTTATCTATTCTTGAAGTCAAACTAATCCCAAAAACTAGACAACAAACGAAGAATAGATAATGGAGTTATAGGAAACACTTTTGAGTTGTCTTTTCAACTTTTTACATGTTAGAAGTTAGAAGTTTGGTGTGAGAGAGCTTTTTTCTAGAAGGCAATGCGTGACCCATGCATGATGACACGCCGACAAACACGTTTTTTTGTTCTCTACATCACATATCATTTTCTTCTTCACAAGTTTCAAGTTTTCCTTTGTACACAAACATAAATAGCTTTTTTTTTATATATATACTATTTACATGTGTGTGTCTCATGCACTGTTCGAACCAGGGTCCAACCCACAAATTTTTTTACCCATGTTATCATGATTGCAGCAGCCTCCCAGAATAATTTATATTAGGTATATTCCATTGCCAATTGTATGTATATTTCTTGACGCATTATATAACGTGTTAGCAAAAAATCTTTTAATTGTGAACATTTTTAAAGACAAAAATTTTACGCTAGGAATAACTGAATAGGTAATAACACTATAAATGAACTCAAAACAAATTTAGACAACAAAAAATTGTACGATGAAAGGAAAAATTCTTTTTTTTTTTTTTGGGGCAAATTTTCAAGGTAAAGTCTACCATATTCCATAAGGCACATAACAAAAGAGTTCCAACTAGGTCATACATCCAAAATTATCACAAAACAATATAGATATGCTAGTTTTAATATATACAAAAATTAAAAGATAATATATCAAAGGCAAAAAAGACACTAATTAACATTTGAATTTGTAAGGAGTTTAAGCATAAAATTGGATCTCTGTTAGTTAGTCCTAACACACTAAATGTAGAGTGGATCTCTAAAGAGGAAGTACTTTACGAAAGAAAATGAAGAGAACTAGAAAAACAGTATACGTGACCAAATAATCATTTGTGTCCATGCTTGCATAAGTGAGATAAAACCCAAGAATAACGACAAAACCATTAAATCATTCAACCTCCAGTATTTGTAGCATTGCTTTATTTTAAAGTTTTTCTCAACCTCGTGTATGTGACATGTCATGTGCACTGTATAGTTTACACGTCGATCATTATCCCTTTGTTTTCAAAACATTTCAATCCGAATTTGGGGTCCATCTTCCGACTATTCTTAGCTACTAACTACTCAAATGCCGTTATCCGGTTGAGTATTTTGCGTCAAATAAAAGTAAACCGGACGGTTTGACGAGCAGCCGCGTGAAGAATTTCGGAAGAGTCAAACGATGGTTCTTCTGTTTTAGTCAAATGTAGTTCGTTTCCCACATTACGTCGTCACAATACTAATGAGTTAATTAGTAACAGAAAAAGTTGGTTCTTTCGATTTTTTTTTTGTTTTCTTTCTTATTTTCATTTTGCGGTTTTGACTGTGAAAACTTGGAATTAGGTATTTATTAATGCACCGTTTCAGCCTCTTATTAGTCCTAACCTCCACCTTTTCAACTATGAATCCTTTCGATCGGCAGTTAGATTCTTATTCCTGTCTTTAATCATACCCAATATACATTTTAAAAAATTACATATCAGTCGAACCCTTTTTAACGTTTGACTTTTAAGAGACAACAAGTCTGAAAAATTCGGTTAAACTTTATATTTTGTATTCAATGTATTTGACTATTTGTTTTTTTTTTCTTTTAAAGATTTAAAACGTTTCACACGAATCTTCTATATAGATATTTTCCAAAGAGAAGACTAAGCTTTCCTAATAAAAATTGGTTAGTAGTTATGACTTTTCTCTTTTTTTCTTGGTCAACTATACAGTTTGTACTTACTACTCAATAGTTGTTATAACTATCTATCTATCTTCTTCTTCTTTGGACAAAAAGCCGAAACGTGTAGCATATGATGACCATGACTACGACCGCAATACAGAAACTCTAGAATATAAATATATCTTTTGCAACGCGGAAGAAAAAAGTCATTTTTATAGCCGACCTCTTCCTTTTTGCTCACCACTTACACACGTGTACTAAGTCAAACCAAACGTGCCCAAATTACTTTCCCCCTTAACCAAGTTTAAAAAAAAAAAAAACATTTAGATACTTTCCTCACAACTTTGGTCCGCATATATAAATGCACCAAAAAAAAAAAGTACTAATAATCTAAAAATCGCCACCCTCACTCTTCACACTTTCCCACCACTTGTCACGCAACTTCCTTCTCCACACTCCACCTTACTTGTATATATTTATTCACACACTTTCATCTTCTTCTTCTTCTTCAACAACAAACAAACAACACTTCTTTCTTCTCTTCCAAATTTTTATTTTTCTCAACTCATCACAAAAGCTCCTCAAAACGAGAGAGACAGAGAGTTCGATCTTACTTCAGATTTTTATCAACTGAATTTTTAATGGCGCTCGAGGCTCTCACTTCACCGAGATTAGCTTCTCCGATTCCTCCTCTGTTCCAAGATTCTTCAACCTTCCATGGCGTCGAACACTGGACCAAAGGTAAACGCTCCAAAAGATCCAGATCCGATTTCCACCACCACAACAACCTCACCGAGGAAGAGTATCTCGCTTTCTGCCTCATGCTCCTCGCTCGCGACGGAGATCGCACCAACCTCCACCCTCTTCCTCTTTCTCCCGTGACGACGGCTGAGAAATCGTCCTCGTCCATCTACAAGTGCACCGTCTGCGACAAGTCTTTCTCTTCTTACCAAGCTCTCGGCGGTCACAAGGCGAGCCACCGGAAAAACTTATCACAGACTCTTTCCGGCGGCGGAGGAGATGATCAGTCGACCTCGGCGGCGACTACAACCACGTCCGCCGCCGTGATCACCGGAAGCGGGAAATCACACGTCTGCTCGATCTGTAACAAGTCGTTTACTTCCGGGCAAGCTCTCGGCGGACACAAGCGGTGCCACTACGAAGGGGACAAAAGTAGTAGCGTGTCCAATTCCGAAGGTGCGGGGTCCACCAGCCACGTCAGCAGCAGCCACCGTGGATTTGACCTTAACATCCCTCCGATCCCGGAGTTTTCGTCGGTTAACGGAGACGACGAGGTTATGAGCCCGATGCCGGCGAAGAAGCCCCGAGTTGACTTCCCGGAGAAACTCCACCACTGAATAAAAACTTAAATTAGAAAACGATCAGATTATTAGTTTGCTCTGTTTTGAATTCTATAGGGAATTTGTAGTTCTGTACATACAAATTTCGAGTTCGATTCATTCCAATTCTTGTTCTTATTCAGTTACAAATTCATTCTTTATTTATCACATGTTAAAATTTTTGAGGTTTTAACTTTTCTTTGAATAAAATCATACTACTAGCTACAGCTCTGTTTTTAGTTTTGAGTTTGATTTTCATATTAATTAAACTCCTAAGCATATCCAAATCCATCTGTTTTTTATTCTAGTTTCTACTACCAGTCTACCAACCACACATGGTCCATTCTAAGCAAATTAAAAACAAATGTGACTTTTCAAAATTCGACCTTCCAATCTGACTTTTGCATTAATAAAAAGATAGAGCAAGAGCAGCCACCAAATTTTACCAAAAAGAACAAACACACACACACACAATAGGTTGGTGGTAGTAACTAGTAAGCTAAAAAAAAATTCCACTAAAGAAGCAGCAACTTGAAGCAAGCAATAACCAAACAAGAAGAGCTCCCAAAGGCCCCCAACTACAAACAGGATTTATACTCAACAATTTTTTTTAGGTGTACCATGAAGAGTAGAATGTGACTGCTTATGTTGGAAGAGCTTTGATTAGAAATGGTTAAACATCACTACATGAGAAGAATGTGCTTGTTTGTTCTTGGAAATTCTAAATTTTTATGTTAACTGTAAATATAGCAGATTAGACAGTCTTCAAACCCCTCTAAAAATAATGTTTAAAAATAACTGTAAATTTTTAGTACTTGCTTCCAAAGGTTTCCAATTTTTTTTAAGTGTTTAAAAATAATTTTAATAATTATTTATATTTAATTTCGAAAATTAGTTACTAATTTAAATATTTTTAGAGTTCCTTAAATATAGGTAATTTAGATTTGATTTGATTAAAAATAATAAATCAGATATTAATTTAGATTTGATTTAAAGATTCTAATTTAAATAATTTCTATACTATTAAATATTTTTATCAAAAATATCTAGAATTTTTGAAAAAAAAAATTCACATATGAAAAATAATGGTCATATTTAAAATATAAAATATTTATAATGATGTAAATGATATGATATTTATGTTTTTTATATAATATATTTACGATTATTATTTATTTACAAATTAAAAATAAAATAATAGGTAAAATTCAAATGTATAATTTAAATATTAAAAATATATTTTTTAAAATTCATAGAACTAAAAATATATATAAAAAACCGGGTTAAAAATATTTTGGTAACTAATATCACTAATTTTGAATTATACATGTATATCGAAAATATATTTTTCACACAAAATCAAAACATAAAAAAATTAAAAATTATTGCATACACTATAATGTGGTTTGAAAATTTTTAGAAAACTATAACAAATATTTTAGAAAACTATAATGCTAAATAATACTGTTAATACATCTCAAACTTTTAACAAATATTTATATTATACGGTAATATGAACGAAAAAATTAAAATTATATTTTTATAATAGTTCATTTTGAATTAATATTAGCGAACGGGTTAAAATTATATTTTATAATCATAATTAATTTTAATACTATAAAAATATATCTAAACACAAAAATCAATATTTTTGCTTATTAAAAAATATATTTATAAAAATAATTATATTTAAACTCAAAAACACAAATTATATTATAAAATTCGTTAAACAATTAAAAATATTGCCGTGCGAATGCACGGAGTTAGAATCTAGTATTAATTAAACTCCTAAGCATATCCAAATCCATCTGTTTTTGATTCTAGTTTCTACTACCAGTCTACCAACCACATATGATCCATTCTAAGCAAATTAAAAACAAATGTGACTTTTCAAAATTCGACCTTCCAATCTGACTTTTGCATTAATAAAAAGATAGAGCAAGAGCAGCCACCAAATTTTACCAAAAAGAACAAACACACACACACTGACACACACACAATAGGTTGGTGGTAGTAACTAGTAAGCTAAAAGAAAAATTCCACTAAAGAAGCAACTTGAAGCAAGCAATAACCAAAACAAAAAGAGCTCCCAAAGGCCTAATTATAAACCCCATCTACAAACAGGATTATACTCATAACAATTTTTTTTTGAGGTGTACCATGAATAGTACAATGTGACTGCTTATGTTGGAAGAGCTTTTATTAGAAATGGTTAAACATCACTACATGAGAAGAATGTGCTTGTTTGTTCTTGGAAATTCTAAATTTTTATGTTAACTGTAAATATAGCAGATTAGACAGTCTTCAAACCCGTCTACTTTGAAAAATGTTGATAAAAAAAAAACAAAGACGGTGACAAGAATCCGGTTAAGAAAAGGAGAATCATAAACTGGCCTTGCTCGTCAACACCCTCCAAAAATTAGACAGTAAGTTGGTGATTATTTGAAACAGATTTAAGGTGTCTTCTTATAAATGTTAAACAACTGCCCACAGTAACCGCAAGAAACTAAAAAAACAGTACATGTAATATGCTTATAGGGAAACTTACTTAAAATCTCATCATACTGAAGCTCTACACGTATTTTTGCAGTGTACTCTGCCACATCTGCTGCAAAAGATATAAGTCTATTCTTAAAAACGCTTTACAAAATTGGTCACTAATTTAAGACAATAACAACAAAAAAACTTCAAAAATGAATGTGTATAGGAAAACCTCCTTAAAAGTAGTTCATCATATTGAGACTATGCATGTATTCTTGTTGTGTCCTTCTTCGCCGCATCTGCTGCACTTGTGTCTCTGAAATTTTGAGCTTAACTCTCCAACTGGTCGCATTCTCTTCGACGGTCTCCTACTGCTTTGCCCAGTAGTTGGAGGTGCAGATAAAATTTCATTTGCGGAATCAGGAGTCCCTCTTATCAGTTTCTGAGCTTGCTCTCTTACTCTCCAAGCTTTTTTGTATTCGATTTGTACGCCATGTTCTCTTCTGACTCGCTCGATAATTTCTTTTGGTTTGAGACCATCTTTTTTTGATCCATAGTCGCTGCAGATTAAAGCTCCAAGCAATTTCGCAGTTGCTTGCCTATGATCGGCATTTATGTGTGTTGTATCACAAGTATGTTCATCAACATACTTCTTCACCACAAAGACGTCAGAAGAATCAAGCTTAGTTGCACGCATCCTCCAAGTGCATTTATCATTGACGCATCCTAATACCACTCTTGATTTGTTTGACCAAAGAGACTTGAACTCAAACTTCCACTCTAGTGCCCATTTTCTCATCTTGAACATCAACTCTTGCTTATTCTTGAAATGTTTGTTCACATGTAAATTATCAGTCCCTCCGGTAGAATGTGAACATCCTATCGAAACCATAGGAGGATCAATAGGATGATAGTAAAAAACTCGACAGTTTCCTTTTTGAGAAGTCGAACATGTGTTGTCGTGTGCTATGGAAACTGCCATGTCGCTCCCACTTGATCGATGAAGTTCCTACAAAACGAAATAAGTACAAGGAGCGGATAAATAAAACTACACTAGATGAAAGGAATTTTTAATAATGAAAGAGTAAAATCACATACGATGCTACCTGTTGTTTTTCATGCACATTAGAATCACCATCAAAATTTTGCAACACATGTGTGTTTGGAATATTTTCCTCAACATAATCCTCTTCATTGTGTATGGTCTTTGAAGGAATGTTTTCCCCAACATTCTCAGAAGCAACCACGTTGCATTTCTCACTCACCTAAACCGAATGAAAGAAATTCAACATCAAAAGATTAGTATTTGAGCTAAAGACAAGAGTGACATGCCTTCCTTAACGGTGTGTAAGAATAGCCATTCGGCTACATTTGTCACTCACCGTTACACACAAACGAATTAGTTCATGATCTTCTTTTATCTTATTGATGAAACTTCTTAATTGGCGATCGTTTCGCAGATTTACCGGTGGAGGGTTCTCTACCATAAGCTCTACCATCAGTTTCATCTTCGATGGAAGTTCATAGGTGAGTCTAATATCTTCACTTTTAACTGAGCAACCAAATCCAAAGTCTTCTATAACCATCTCAACTAATTCTGCGAATGTGACATTCTCATCTACCTCTGTAAGTGATCCTCCTTTGTCCATATCTACTATAAATTCCCATTGGAGCTTGTCATTTATTTTCCACTCTCCACAAACAGAATAGATTTCTACCATACTTTCCTGCAATACAAAAGAAACCGTTGTGAATTACTCTTCAGAACAATACTTTGCTTTGTTTCTTCCCTCAAAAGTGTGTTTTTGTGTTTAAGGATTAGCTTACAAAGATCAGATAAATGGAGCTTAATGCCAAAATGTTAAACAACTGTATATATAAGAAGTTCCAGACCAAGAATCTCAAACCAAAAAGCGTAAAACCCTAATGCTCGAAATCCAAAATTATTGAAGAGCAATTGAAATTAAATTTGCTCCAACTGAACAACAAATTCAAGATTCCACGTTAAAAAAAAAAGTTATATTCATGAAACATATGAACAAGGGTTCAGCAATGGCGGTCCTAAAATCACGGTAACGGAGATACAACAACCAAAAAGACGAAGGAAGAGATACCTCAGATTATATGATTAGGGAGATGAAGGAGAATTTCTGATTCAATGATCTCCTTCGACGATGATCAAGTGGAGAAAGCTAAATTTGAAATCGATTTCACACCATGTTCAATTTTTAGATTATCGAGTGTTGAGATTGAAAAAAATAAATGGAAATCGATGTTTATTTTGCGGAAATGTTTCCTGCGTTTTTTGTTTTTAACCAATAAATAACAAAATCTTCGACCAAAAAAAACATTATTTTAGCGGAACGCCGCGCAGTGTTTAAGCATAATTCCAAAACGACTCGCTCTTTCGCATCAGCACCCCGTCTATATAAAGACCTCCGCAATTTGGATGCAACAAAACCATTTTCCTTGTAAATTCGTCTTCAGTCTTCGCTTGAGCTCTTGCTGTTGGCGCCGCGAGTTTACTCCATGGATCACTCCATTTTAAAGCTCCTCGAAGAAGACGAGGTTAGGTTTTCAAATTTTCCACTCCCGTTTTCAGATTCCGAATTATCTTCGGAAATCTGCGTACTGTCGTCTTGCTCTCTGCGCGGATCATCTCGATTTTGATTCCAGCTAAATGTGTCGTCAGGATGAATCTATGCATTCGAGGGATGAATTGGACGCACACATGGACTCTCTGAATCGAGAAATCGAAGGTTCGTTTGAAACCTAATTCGTGTGCTAAACTGCGGAGAGTATATAATGGAACTCTCTTTTGATACTCCTACGAGGAACACCATGTCAAATTCTTTAGATTTCTTGGAATGATTTAGATCCACGAGTGTCATAACTATCATATTCTGCGGGGTTTCTCAATTGATGGATGCAAATTAGATATTGTTAGTCAGGCTAGAGATTACGCTGATGATGCTCTAGTGATAATTAAGCTGTGATCGGTATATGAATTGAGGGCTATTGACTATTCAACTTCTTAGCATTTTCTGTGGGAACACAATGATAGTTCATATCCTCTCTCTTCTTGTCATGAACTGATCTTCGCCTTCTGTTCACTTGGGATATTGAATTACATTGATTATAACAGACATTCTATAATTTCTGAAGGAGAAAACAATTCTTCGAGTCAGCAGCTTGGAAAAGGGATTAATGGTATTGGAGATGCTGATACCAACTTCCATATCCGTGAGAGCAGTCAGATGATAGAGCAACACCGATCTGGTTTGGTCAATCAAAACCACGAGTTAAAGCAAGAATATGAATCTCATCCACAGCACAATCCATCTCAGGACCTTCGTCAAGCAGATCAACTCTGGGAGAATCCTTCCTATGTTCTTCAAGGAAGTAACTTGCAGTCTAAAAACAAACCTATTAGCAGTGAACCAGAAATGCCGCAACCTCAGTATTTGGAAATACAGAAGACGAGTAGCCAATGTGCTCATGGAACGGAACAGCCTGTTCACCCTGTGAATCATGGCCCTAAGGAAGTACAAGTTTGTGAATTGCTTCGTGTCTTGATAGCCCAAGTTGACAAAGATAGAGAGAAGCATCTTCGTACCCTGTTTTGTAAATTCAAGGTGGGGCTTTACGTCCATGAAATGACTTGGCACTCTGATAGAAAACTCTCACTACATTACTTTTCTTTTCTCACTTGTTTGCAGAGGAAAGAATTGACAAAGGAAAGCTTCTTACGATATGTGAGGGATGCTGTAGGTGATCAAATGATCAGATTGGCAACTAGGAATCTGCTTCAGTCAGAACAGGTATCTAATGTTCCAATGAAACAGAGCAATGGTAACCCAAGGACGTCAACTGATGACTTGGGGAAGCAGTCTTCTAAAATGGTTTTATCCACATCGACCACCCATGAAAGCTTTGTTTCTCCGTCAATGAAAACACAGATGGACTCTAGCATAATGGTAACTTATAAATTGTACTCTCAAACGACATATTCAAATGCTAGTGATGAGTAAATGGACTATCTATTTGACTTTAAAGTTGTTTTGTGCACTCATCAGGTTAATATCCCTGCCCCATCTCGGACCATTAATGTTAGGACGACACCCAAAATGCCTTATGTTGGTCAGAAGAAACCTTTTGAGGCACTAGGTTCTTCGCTGCCACCATCGAGGTAACATAGCTAGCTGCTTTGTGAAAGAAGAACTATTTACCGCGTCTATAAGTTATTCTTCCTTTTTTATTTTTATTCTTTAATTTGATATCCTCCTTTTCATTCATTTGTAATTTATAATTATTATTGAAGTCTAATAGCATGGGTTACTTACAGCAAGAAGCAAAAACTACGTGGGGATTATGATGATCGAAGTATTGAACAAATCAATGATGTCACTGCACTCATCAATCTTCAGGTATGTTTTCTGGTAGCTGCACTAAACCTGGATACAGAGAGACCAATAAACCAATTCTTTCTGCATATGTACTAGGAAGAAGAGAGAAAACTATTATACTCTGGGGCTAAAGAGGACAGTCGTGTTTCTAAAGCATCTCGAAGAGCTGTGCATGAAGAGGAAGAAAGGACGATTTTGCAGAAAAATCCACTGCAGAGAAAGCTAGCAGTAATTAGTTGGGTTTCAACCCATCTCTTAGCTGCTTCTTAGATCTTTGCTTGGAATCACTTGGAGAAAGAAGTTTTTATATACTTTCGTACATGACAGTGGCAAAAAGTGGTGTAGAGCATATAAACGATGATGTCGAACAGTGCTTGTCTCTGGTGAGATGTCATTACTTCTTGGGAATTTTTGGCCTACAATTTCTTCTTCTTGTATTTTTTTTCCTCATGGCTTTGCTTAATCAGTGCGTGGAGGAAAGGATGCGTGGATTGTTGTCTGATATAATCCGAATGTCAAAGCAGGTTAGTCTACTTTCTTCTCTTGCCTTCTTTAAACTTTGTTGTGTCAAAAACATTTGTGAAGTTAAAAGAGCTTTTGCAGCGGACTGATGCTCCGAAGTGTAGAAATCGAACTTGTATCACATCTGATATTCGGAAACAAATTAATGAAATGAATCAGAAGGTCAAAGAGGAATGGGAAACGAAACATGGTGGAAAGCGTCAGGTTTGTCCTGAGCTCAATATCTATAGTATTTTCTTAGTTACCAATAAAGTAATAATGCCTATGTTTTGGGATTTTTCCTCAATGTAGAACGAAGGAAATGATACTGCAAAAGAAGATACTCGTTCAGAACAAATGAAGGTATTTAGAAACTGAGCCACCTAAATAAACCTTTGGACATACGTACACTGAAAGAGGTTCTATAATAATAAGGAACAAGATGAAAGGAGAATTAAGGTTGCAAATGTTGCTGCCCTTGCATCCATTGGAGGAGATAATCCGTTTCTAAAATGGAAACTTATGGTAGAAGCACGTCAGAAACTTTCTTCACGGTCAGAAATAATCTCCAAGAATGAAACTGGTGAGCCCGATTCTATGATCTGGAAAGGTAAATCTCAGTTCGGTTGCTGGTTATTCTTTATTGAAGTTTTTCTCTGCTTATGGCTTTGGGTTCTTGTGACTGTTTCATGATGTCTTGATTTAATTTTAGTAGGTGGTAGAAGATTTGGGAAGAACCAAGGTTCACCAAAAGTGGCCCGGTCAATATCTGTGAAGGATGTGTTTGCTGTGGTGGAAAAAGAGCCTCAGATGTCTAAATCGACGCTACTGTATCGCTTATACAACAGAATCTGCTCGGATGTTCCAACCCAAGAGAAGACATAGAAACATTTGTAAGAGAAAATAACCAGATTCCGAATCTTTTTAACACTCTATTTTCTTATTCCATTAAAAGTGATGCCATTACAAACTCCTAAGCATGATGAAGATGCTAAGTACATCCTTATTTCTTCTTCCTTCTACTACGACCTAAAGAAAGTTACTAGATTTATCTAGTTTTTGCCTGATTCCTTCATGTTGGCTCGGCCGTGTCCATATCCTCCACCACCACCACCGCATGAGCCACCACACCCACCGCCACCACCACCAATGATGACTCCACCACCAATACCACCTGACCCGTATCCAGGACCGCCTCCTCCGTTGCTTCCATCCCAACCAAAACCACCACCACCACCACCACCAATGACAACACCACCACCACCGGAACCATACCCACCACCACCACCTGGCCCGTATCCACCACCATATCCCGGGCCTCCGCCGCCATAGCCGCCAGCTGTGAGTTCACCCCTAAATCCGGTTACGTGTCGGTTACTCTTTCCGATCTCACTGGATGCTGCTTCACTCTTCATGAACGCACCTTCTCTTGCAGCCTCACCAATCATATGGCCGATGAGGCATAGATACAACGAAACAAGAAACCAAAACATCACTCTACTCCCCATGATGGCTGCTTAGTGACGATATTTTTTTTTTTTGTTAGAATCTGAGAAAGTAAGATAGAACGAGTTCTAATTGAGGAGAATACAGCCACAAACACATCACTATTTATATATAGTCACATAAATACAAAGGTGATGGTTAGCATGGCGCGCCAGTAGAAAGAGGCGCGTATATGGTGTGGCTTAACAATATGGATTTAGGTGATCGGTCTGATTCTCATGATTTTTCCCTCGCCTTTTTGAGTTTTGTTGCATTTTTCCATTATTCATTTTGTAGTCTCGTCCGATTAAAATTTAGAGTGAAAGCCAGAAAATTAAACTTAATTCATGTAGATCTAAGCTAGAATGGGACTTATGTAAAATGGAGCTGGTGTTTATGCACCTGTGTCATTAGCTATTGAGGCTTAATCTCACGTGTACCTCATGTGCTCGTTAATGAGACTAATCTGTAATCCTCAGAATGTCTTAGCGCCTCATAAACACTTAACTGTATAGAGATTTGATCAAGGACACTTCCTTTTTACTATGGAGATGATAGTGGTCGACTGGTCGTGGTGCCAAATGATTTGTTTTCTTATGTTTACGTCTTTTCCAAAAAGATGTGTATTTTCGTCGTAATTTTGATTTTAAAATTCTAAACACCGAACCAGAGAGTAGGACCGGTCTATTGAGAACTATGCGTTGGTATTGTGTGTCTCCAACAAACGAAACGTGCCATCTTTTCCGCACGTGCCTGTAACGAAAGGCCGTAATTTGGCTAATCGATGAACGTTCCTCTCAACTCAGCCCTCTGAAAAAATTTCGATCTCCATCGTCAATACCCCAAATTTTAATTTCTCTGTTGCTTTCTGAGTTTCTGCTCTTCTCGAAGATTATTCCCTTAAGGGTTTTTGTTTGTTAGGAAATTAGGGTTCTTATCTTCCTCAAGAGATGACGACGAGTTTGGATCGGTGGGAGAAGGATCCTTTCTTTGCCGCTGCTGAGGAGGTTCAGGAATCTGCCGACAGGTTGCGTTTTCGAATCCTTACTTCTCCATTTCCTCATCCTTTAGCTGATGATTCTCGCAAAATTTTTGTTCTGGATCTGTGAAATTACAACTGTCATTGTTGATGATGTAATGTCGATTTGTCTGTTGCTTCGTATTCGGGAATTAGGACTCTGATAATCAAGTTTTAGATCTTGAATCCTCACAATGTTGTGCCTGTGTGTGGTATCTTGGATTGATTTGTAGGATGGAGTCAGCTTACAGGACATGGATCAATGGGAAACAAGGCTCTTCAAATGTATGGGACGACTCTGAGCAGCTTCACAGGGACCTTCACGCCGCACTCGGAACCACCAAATGGCAGGTTTCTTTCTTTCTTTCCTTCTCTTTTTTTCTCGTACTCGATTCGAATTTGTGGAATGTTGATTTGCTTTCTTTAAGTGAAAATTGTATCTTTTTTTTGCTGCAGTTAGATGAATTCCAACGAGCTGTTCAATCTAGCTACGACAATCGTTTGAGTGATGAAACTCGAGATAGGCATCGCGAGTTTACATTCGCAATGGAGACTCAGGTTGCGAAAATCGAGAAATCTCTCAAGGAAGCTGCGCAATCTGACGGCAAAGGAACTCCGAGATGGGTGCGTTTGGATGAAGATGATCGTAATGAGCTTGCCCTCTTCTTGACTGGACCATCTGAATCCGAAAAGAAACAACTTTCAACAAATCGTGGCAAAGCAAATCAGCTTCCAGATATGTCAAGTAAAGAGGCAAAGACGCATGGACATAGAAGGGCGGCAAGTGCTACTGCTGATATCGGTGCTTGGAACGTCGCGGTTTCTTCTGATGATGGTTTCGTGCAAAAAACTTCTGATGAGCCACTGGTTCAACCTCCACGGAAAGTTCCCAGCTTCTCTGGTTTCCTCAATTATATGGAACCTGGGTCCAAAAACTGCATTAGAAAGTGGAAAGCCTTAGATCGTCAAGGAGATTCTGATGCTGCGTTATTACCTATCCAAGCGAACCAAGTAAGATTCTCCTCAAAACGCAAGTTTTTCTTTCCCTCCTGCTTACAAAAAGTCTTATAACTAAAAAAGGGATTTTTAATTTCTCAGCAAGTCATGAATGGATGTTTTGAGAGGGACAAAAGTTGTATGGAATGTGAGGACTGTTACGAAAAGCAGCTTCATGGTTGGTATGGAGCTCTACAAAGGCAACTTCAACGGTCTCAGTATCGGATGCGTTATAGTAAATCCGTTCAAGCTGCAATTTGGATTCTTCTTTTACTTCTTCTTATAGGTAATATTTACTGAATTGAAATTTTGTTTCTTTCTGTAATCAAAGATCTCACATGCATATTTGGATAAGTTTTGAGATAGCGTGTTTTGTCGTTGCAGTGGTAGTCGCGGTGCATACAATGTAGAAGACTGCTATGGAATACCACGTTTGAGTTTATTCATCCTCGATGTCACGGGTTGTTCAACTGCGAAAAGGATGGATTTGGCAATCTACACTTTTACTGTACAGTAATTCCACTGTTTTTGGTTGTTCTGTAATATAGAAATGCATTTTTTATTCGATTATATGAAACGGTATCTTTGATAAGTAAGAAAGAATCTTGACACCTCTTAGATGCAAAGTAAACGCACTCTAGAGTGGAACATTGTGGACTTGGGATGTTTTGTAATACAGAATGCATTTTTGATCCGAATGTAATTCTTCAATGAGAAATAAGGAAAATGTCAGACTTTTTTGTTTCTTCTTTTACAATCAATCCGAACAGAGTTTTTCTCAGATATTTTGGGACATTGAAGCACACGAGGGCAGGCTGCTAAGTGTTTTTGGACATGTTATCCACCTTAACCTCATGTTTATCCGTCTTCTCTAACTCGATGCCTTGAAATGTAAGTCTAGATGATCGGTAGTGACTCCCGAAGGCAGACCCAAAACCCCAACCGAGGCCTAAACCCACTCCGCAGCCGCCACCTTCAAATACAATATTGCATTGAGAGTTTTGTGATTAAAAGACTTGATGCAAGATTTACCCATTATCTGCTTTTGTGTAGAGAGAGAGACGCAGAGGCAGATGTTTCAATGCTTACCTACACCAACGCCTAATACATTCAAAGGCATTCCTGCAAGAAAGCAACAACAAAAACACTCTAATTCAGTACTACGCACTGATCCAATTTAAGATATATTTGTGTGTCTGTCTGTTTGCAAATAGTATGAATCCATCAAATGTAAGCTGTCAATGGCAAAGGACTCTGATTCTAGGCATGAGGTTTTAAGTATACCATTCAGTTAACAAGCACGTAGATGAAAATACAGATTTGTACACCAATTAGCAAGTAAAGATGATGAAAGAAGAAGCAATTGTATAAACCCTAGGAGTAGATAGATGATCTCAAAAACATCACAAAACCAAACAAACAAAGCAACAATGAGAGTGTGGTTTTGCGGCATTATATCGAAACGAATAGTCAGAGTGTAGTGTTCCTATATGAAATGATTCTATCAATCTGTGAAATTCAAACCAAATCCTTGGAGTTTCAAGTGAAGTTAAAGTTTGTGAAGGAACCTCCAAAACCCCAGCCAACGCCAAATCCACAGCCAACACCGAACCCTAGATAATTCCAGATTTGATAGAGAAAAAATTACGAGGCGAATCAAAAAAAAAAAAAAAAAAAGACAACGGAGAAACAACTGCGAATGGGAATACCGAATCCAACACCAACTCCAGTGAAGTCAGAGAGCACCATAATCTTCCGAAGAGAGAAAAAAAAACAAAAATTGAATTAGGAATCGATAGATAGATAGATAGAGGCAAAGAGAGTAGAACTGGTGAATCTGAATCAACCGATACCTTGTTTGTTGTTGGTGAATCTGCGAACCGGATACTGTCATTTTTATGAACCGGTTATTTAAAACTCAACAAAACTAATGAACCGGTCTATTTTTGTTCAAATTTGTGAAACCGACGAACACTTCTAAAATGATTTTCGATTGTGATAGCGGACCGGACCGGACATACTAATCTACTTGCGTACCAAACCCGTAGCTTGGTCTGACTGAACATATATGTATTTTGCTCGCATTATACAAGTTCATTGCGAACTAGTCTCCGTTTTCGGACCGATATGGTAGACTAGTGTTTCTTCTGAATCTCATTAAAATCTCTCTGAATTATCACAGGATAAGTTTATCTATTGGTCTGCTCAATTGCAGACTAAAGTTCGTGAACGAACGAACAGATTCTTGGTTTGAACACAGATAGTAGGTCTGTAGGTGCATAACAACTTATACATTGTTGGTTAGTTTGTGCTACAATATACACTACAACTGACTTTGGATTTATTGATGATACAGAAAAAAAACAGGGAAATTAGTATTTTTAGGGAAATTAGTATTTTTAGGGTTTCTTCTATCAATCATAGTCTTTGAAACTATATAAAATAAAATAAAATTGGACTGACTTACTAAGTTGTTCCTGAAAAAAATAGATACTATACACATTCCTCTAACATTATGCAGCAAAGAGAACGAAATTCTCCCTACGCTCTATTTACATCTTCAACGGAACTTCCTACAAGAATTTTTTTAGCTTCTCAACAATAGCAAAGTAGAAGAAACTGTTTTGAATGAGTTTATACACATTAATCTCCTGCGTCCCAAGCTTCACTGGAAACTTGTTCCCGACATCAGCCATTTTTCTGGCGGGTCGCTACTGAACCCTGCAATGTCTTAATTTTGGGGCCTTGAGATGAGTCTTCAACGTGAGAATCGAATCTGAGTTCAGAAGGTGGAATGAAGCAATCCATAGACAACCCAGGGACATTGAACGCAATCTCATCGATGACCCATGCTTCTTGCATTGTCGTCTTCGTGTTATGTCCCGATGACATATCTCCAAACCTTAAAAGTGTAGCCACGGATCTACCAGAGTGAGCTATCACGATACCTTCGATCGGTTTGTAGTCTTCTAGGTATGAATTGATGGTCGTCTCCCAGTAAACTGCTTCGCCTCCAACGTTTTGGATTCGGGTTAATTGGGAGTCTTCTAAGTGAACAAGAAGACCGGTTTTTTGGCTGAAGTAACCGAACAAAGTATGTCTTATGGTCTCTGATGCACCTTCGCTTCTAGCTTTGAGTGTTGCCGGGTCTGCACATAGCTTGAGAATGAAACAGTCTTCTCCATCAATCTTTTTTTCTCCTATGCACCTTGCATTTGCAAACATGTTCGCTGTGGTTCTTGGGTCAAGTCCCTGAAAGTATACAACAGTAACAATTTTAGCTACGCAAGCAAAGAGAAAATGGATGACAAAGGCTTCCCTTGGGACCAGATATCGGACCTGAAGAGCGCGTCGCAATGGTCTAACCGGTCCTTTTGCAGCATGAGGTCCAAGCCATGGTGTGTGCCTCCACACAAGCTTCCCGTCGCAACCGGCAAGGACCTTGCTCCCACCAAGAACAAGCTCCATATACCACATATCAGGATTCATATGCCACAACACAAATCCTCCAGACTCAACAGCTTTCGACGAGTTGTTCTTGCTCTTTGAACCCTTTGAGCCTGTCTCAAACTCCGAGGCCACTGTTCTGATTCTTCCCATAACATACCCATTTTGCACAGAACTATGGAGCTTTTGACCACCTGATGCAGCCGTATACTGCTGAAGGATGTACTGCGCAGAGGAGGTTTCCTGAAATTCAAGTATTTCGTAAGAGTTATTAGACTTGACTCTGAACACAGTGAGACAACCATTCATAATGTGCCTCACAGATTAGACATTTTCTCCTAACTGGAAAATCCACGTTCTGAAGTCCTTTTTCTGTCTTCAAGTCTAAAGTGAAATCTACATGTTATTGATGATTTTAGCACCATATACATGATTCACAGAATGACAGAAAGCAGGAGAGTAAGAATTTGAGGAAGAAGGATCAGTAAAGCAGCTAATTCTGCTAAGAGAATTTATGTGATTCTCTCGTCAGACTAAAGAGAAGGCAAACAGAATGAACAAAAGTAGTTATGTAGAGACAAAACATATCGTTGAACAATTAGAGATAAAAAACGAGCGACAAATCTCAATTAATTGCACAATCCTTCTCCATTATTAGTCTGCAATTAAAAAAAATGATTCAGCTAATTCAACCAAGACTATAGCACAGAAGAGCATAAATCCTCGGGAAAAACCTCCAAATTTCAAGTAATTCGATGCCTCACTGACCTAATTTGAGGAAAACAACTTAAAAATGAGTTCATGAGAGTGAGAAAAGAGCGAAAGAAAGCTCACCATGGGAGTATTCTTGATGGAGAGATGTGGAAGGAGATCCAGAGCACTAACGTGCACAGGACCAAGTGGTGCGCCAAGAACACCGAGCAATAGCCTCAGATCCGTCCGTTTGAAGCCGGAAGACGAAGATACCGAAGGCGGAGCCACCGGAAGCTGACATTTCATCCAATTGTACCACCGTCTCTCGAACCTCGAGTAATCTCCACTGTTTCCGGATTCTTCTCCGTCTGGATCAGGACCTTCTATAACCGGCGGGAGCATCTCAGACATGTGCCGGTCCGGTTGCGAGACGTAACGACCTTTCCGGCGACGGATGATGATCGGAGAGACGCCTCTCACGGGGCTCTTGGATCGCGATCGCCGGGAATGTGACTTGGAGAACAAACCGTGCTTCTTATCCATACTCGTACAAGGAAGTGTTGGTGAGTGAGACAGAGAGAGAGAGAGAGAGAGGAGGGGTTTGGTGCTAAAGCTTGAGAAAAAAAGTGAAGAGAAATGTTGCGTTGAAGGGAAGGTTGCATATAAATGTCGAATTTAATTCGTTAAGACGCGTTGTTAAATGTTAACCATTTCTTTTGATATTTTTAATTACCTATTTCCGAGTTCTTAATTAGTTTTTGTTTGTTTTTGGCTATTTATTTAGGTTGCAAATCTTGGAAAATACTACTGTTCGACATGAAAATAATAAAAAGGCCTAAAGTTTCATTATTATAATGCCACTATTTCTTTTGAAATTGTTTTACACTATCCATTTATTTATATAAACCAAAAAAATATTTGTCTTCTTTCTCTCATATCTAACTCGGTCCACATTGGATAAGAAGAAAAGTGAGAAAGGAAGAATTTGTTTTATTAATCCCTAGCTATATCGAGGACAAAAACTACTTCAAAAGTATATAAATGGTAGTCTTATATAGTAGTGAGTCTTTTCACTTAATGTGACAGAAGTTTTGTTAAAATGTGAGTCTTTTCACTTAATGGGACAGAAGTTTTGTTAAAACTAAGTATTATTAAAATTGTAAATGAATATATCATTATATATTTACGATACTTTAGTTAAAAGCAGCATATATTAGTGAGCAATTAGCCTTAAAGAACACGAAAGGCATGCCCTTAGAGATAGCAATTAAAGGTAGAACACGCAATTGAGTGTGATGATGCTAAAAGCAAATGTATAAACGAGTATGGTTGTGCATGAGCATGAGCCACCAAAAGTCAACATAACACAAATTTATACAAAAAGAGTCTTGCTTTTCTGAAGTTTTTAATTTGTTAAAGGGGGTTGAATTCATGGGACCAAATTAGAAAATCCGGTGATTATTTTGTTGCTCATTGTCATCTTTAACCTCACAATAACCATTTTCGATGGTTATTCTAGACTCTCAAGTGCACTTTTGTGTGTTCAAGTTCAATAAAGATGATTAACCTATTTATAAGAAAGTACCAAAACTCTAAAATCTTAAAACATAATTCTAATTAATTATTTTAAGTTTTAAAATAAAATACAAAATAGAACGTGTTTATTATATATAAGTCTAAATTTATCGGTAATTATTGAAATTTTAGAGAACCACTTTCATTATCATAAAAATTAGAAATCGACGTTCATTCTACAATATTATAGTGAAGAAGAAGCCTATACCAATGGCCCACTTGAAGGGACGAATCGATCATTACAGCTTTTTATGAAAAAAAAAAAAAAACTTGTGTGATTTTGTGCTCGTTTGTGTTAGCTAGCTAAGAAAGAAAAGAAACTAAAGTGCATATGATGATAAAATATTCTGATATCGTCAACGTGAGGCGGGAACTAACGGTGACATGAGGCTGGGAATATAAATAGATAAAATAAAAAGGAGTCGGTGTATGTAATTATAAATGGTGATGATAAACGCTGAGCATGCGAGTTTGGTCCATTGATAATAATGACAACTTTTTTGCAAACAATCTTTGGGAGACCGAAAAATATACAAAGATAAAAGATAAGAAAACCTTACATAGACATTACTTAACACAAAAAAGATTAATCAATTTTAATAATTCACCAATCTTGGTAATCACTCATGATGATATACATATATTAAGGGTTTTGTTTTACAACTCCTACTGTCATAATTAACGCGGCAATATGAGTTTTACTCAATATGAGTTTTACTCAATATGAGTTTTACTCAATATGAGTTTTACTCAATATGAGTTTTACTCTAGTTACAAAAAAAAAAAAAGAGTTTTACTCAATTCAGTCGATTTAATTGAATTACAACTTCATCCATTCAATATGGGAAAATAAATGTATGAAAGAGTAAATCTTCTTAGTTTAGTGGTTGACTAAAGATTTATTATATTAAAATATACGAATTTAAATTCCTGAAAACAAATTATTAATATAGCGAAAGTAAAGCTGTTCATTACAGTTTTGCATGTCAAAATAATAAATATAGTACAACAATTCATTGCTTCTAAATTGTCCTGTAAATGCAATCGATTCCACAACGTAAAGGCGAAAGCAAAAGAGTACCCGATTACAAGATTGATCTTTCGAAAAACTCAAAGTACTAATGTTGGGCCGCAAAGATCACTAGCACAAGGTCCGTAATAAGTAATGAACAAAGCAAAAAACATATAAATAAAATATGATTCTGATACAAAGAAACACAGGACTCTGGCTGAGGAGATTCTGACTAATGAGACCTACCACACAAACCTAAAAACAACATATAATTAAAGAACCAACAGATACCATCGACAACACTGAGTCAAAGTCACACAAAAAAAAAAAAACAACACGATACAGCAATTACTACTAATCGTAGCCTCCTCATCTATTTCAAACAACATGTCTATGTCCAAAGATTGAGTTTCTCGAGCACTTTCCTCCCATATCTGTTGCACCTCATGAACGGATGATTCCTTTTTATATGGTACAACAATGCATTTCGCATATCAGCCTATATAAGACATGCGAAAAGAAGATAAGCTCATCATTTCACACAAAACGAGTCTAAAGCATGTTCATATATTACCTGAGATACTACCCATGCAGTCTGAATCACATAGTTTCCAAACGGATTCACAAGAAGTGAATCAATGTCACTTATCAGCTCGTTTACAATTTTCCTCGAGTTAAATTGTCTACTTGTCAAACACCTTTGCACCGCGTGACTCCCATACTTGTCACAAGAGAGTTGGGCATAATTCCCATCGAAATATTTCGAGAGAGCAGCTGCCACATGAAAATCTTCCAACTCCAACACAAACTGCACTACATAGTTTCTGACAAAAATAACAAAGATGACTTTAACATGAGCAGAAAAATGTGTTCTAGATAATGTTTAACCGATAATCATGTAACTTGTATAATCCATGCATATAATTTTACCCGTAGCAATTCACGCATAGACTCATAGAATGGGTGATGATCTTCTCAATCAAAGGATCCCTTATTTCTTGATAGGATTTTCCAATGCATTGTTGAAGCATGCAACATCCAAACTGATCAATTGCAACTTGATAACAATTTTGAGCTATCACTTGAAGAAGATACTGTCAAGTATAGAATACAAAGACCAAGAAAAACGTCAGCAACAATTATATATAAGTTCGAACCAACTAAAGATAAGATTTATGGTCTTGTCATTGCTCATTTTCTTGTAATACAAGCAATAGAGTTGTGAAACCTCCACAACTGGTGTCTTCATTGTATACTTATTGTTGGAGGTTCTACAACATATCACTAAAAAAATTTAGGCTTGGAAATTATGTAACTGTTTAGAAGCTTACTCTGTTTTGTGAAGGAGAAAAATGGGTGAAGCAGAACAAAATCACATGGTTCGCATTGATGCTCTTGGTCAAAACAAGTGCAACATGACATAAAGTTACCATCAAGCGGGAAATTTGCTCATCAGAACCAAGACATCGCATCAAATCTTGTATTGCATGAGTTCTGCTATCACCAAAACAAAAAAATACAGATAATCAATTACAGATCAAATAGACATAAGAAAGAATATCAGAAGTGCGTGCGTACCCATGAGAATCGCCACAAATCCTAATAAACTGAATAGGTTGCTGAATTACTATATCCAAAACCCGAGTGATCTGCTCATCGGTGCATTTCTCAAAAAGCTTTTGAAGGACTTCATGGCCAATAGGGTCAATCATCAGCTCACAGACCTGTGAGACCAAATCTTCAAATATCTTATCAATCGTCTTCCTTGAACCTTCAGCAATCACCTTTAGCAACCGTTGGGACTCTCCACGGTCTTTAGCACGTGATAGTGTAGTAGCCGTAACCCTAAAGCTACACATAGTGTAGAGATCATGATAACTCCAAGGACTTTGAACAAAAAGATTACTTGGAGAAAAAGGAACGTTTCCTAAATTTCCATTAAAGCCAGTACGTGAAGAACTCATCACACCATTATTGCTACGTCCGTGAAAACCATGATTATATGACTTATGAGCTCTATACCCATTAACACAATCATCCATTGGATACAACAATCTCTGCGACTGCTCTTGCTGATAATTCAAAGGAAGCGAGTACTCATTGCCATTCATACCACGATCTCGACCGTTCAAAGGAAACTGATTGCTTTGACAATTATCAATCAGCGGCTGTGGACAAGCGTTTACACCGGTGACATCTAATCTTCTAAAACTAGACTCTAGGCTTTGCAAATCTGACAAAGAAGGAGATGGAGAAGCTCCGGTTTCAAGAGAGTAATAATCATTCAAGGAGAAACAATACATACTGTCGTGATAAGCTCTGAGTCTCTCCCGTAGAAGCTGCTGATGCTGATCCGGAGTCAACGGCGAGGAAGCCACCACCGGGTGCACATCTCCTCCATTCTGGTTAGTCATCATAACTCTGACCGATCGTGGAGAAGAAGCAAAGGAGAAAATATAAGATCTATGAGAGAAAGTATGAGAAAATCTCAAACGGAAAGATATTGTCAAGAAAGATTTTCTATTGTTTTTTTAGAGATTTATCAAAAAGGAAAACAAGGAAATATAAAGGAAAAAATATTAATGAAAGATGTAGTCAATAACTAGAAGAAGCTGTTAAGGTAATTACGGGTGATTAAAATGTGGAAAATCAATTAATGTACAATTGTATATATGTTTAAAATCTCTATGATGCAAGTCTTTGTGACAGTAAAAGGTTTTTCTTTCTTCGTCCCATGCTTTTTTTTTTTCAGTTATACAGTCAAAAGTCTCCATCACCTAGCAAATAAATTTTTCTTAATCATACATGATTATTCATTTGGACACATGTAACAAATCACAAAACAATAACTAAATAAAAATAAAACAAAACACAACAATTATTTTACACCAATTGATTGGTTTTTCCAAGCAATTTCCTATCAAAATTTTATAGGCCTACTTTTCTTTCTTTTTTCTTTTCAATTTAAAGCAGCATTTGATTCATTAGTTTTTTTTTCAATTTTTAACTTGAAACTTATTTTAAAGCTACTTCAATAATATAAATGTTTGTAAACTAAATAAGAATAAAAATGGATCAAAATATAAATTTTATTATTATAATATATTTTTAAATTTTTTTATGGTTTTAATGTTTTACTTTTTTATTTAATAACATAGTTTTGACATTTAAGTTGAGCAATTTTTTTTACTTTAAAAATTAAGAGTGTTAAGTGAAAACGTAATTGTAACTTTAAGAAATGTATAAAAAGCATTGATTACAATTTTTAGATCAAGTAGAGATATATTTGGCGAATCAGTCTCACATTTTAAATTTTGACAAAAAGAAGAAACGAGGATACCCCTTTCTTTTTATGAAGAAACTGATGTTAATTTTGTTATTATTTCCTACTTTAAAGGAAACTGAATAGTAATCTTTTCCACAACTTTTTTTAATCATTTTAAATCGGTAAAAAATATATTAAAACTGGCGCTCGTTGTCCCTCTTTATTTTATTAAAACTATTAATCGAGCATAACGTCTCTACTTACAGAACAAGAAGAGATTTACACGGTTCCTGAGAGAGTTTAAAAGCTAAACAACAAAACCATCTCTAATGGTTGCGTTCTTCACCACAACGGTAATGCCTGACCTTATGTAAAACCCTTCCTCTGGCCTATCTCCTTCTTCCACGCCCTGCCACACCCAAAGACAAACCAAACATCAGACAACCAAAAAACCACTTCGAAAATTAACAAAAGATCTATCAAAAAAGCATACATCTGCATTTGCTATGACCACGTTCTTCCCGATCTTGGCGTTCTTGTCGATGATACAGTTCCTGTATTAATACAACACAAGCAAGACGATGAATATACTATACGATAAAGATGCTTCAAGAAACCTTATTGTCTCTATTCAGAGAGAAAAAGTTTTGACCTGATCTTGGTGTTCTCGCCTACCCCTATCGGAACTTTCCTTTCTGCTAACAGAGAAGCTATTTCAGCTTCCGTTTGGTAGAAATCTGCACCCATCATCATCGTATCCTGAAGCTCTACTCCGGACTCTACACGTGATCGTATGCCCACAATAGAGTGTTGCACACTGCATTCTCTCAAGAAACATCCATGTGAAACTATAGAATCAAGAATCTGCAATTTTCAAGAATAGATTTTAAATAGTTAGAATCGATGAATCATCAACTGGAGTCACGGGATAAACGGATTCAAGAAGCCGTACCCTGCATTTATCAACTTTGGTAGGTGGCAAGAATCGTGGAGAAGTGAAGAAGGGTGTTTTTGGATCGTAAAACTGGAATTTAGGAGGCTGCCAAAAACAGAAATTTAATGGCATGATTAGATTTCACCAAGTCAACAAAACTGTTATGGAGGTAAAAACAGTAGGATCGGTAAAAACCTGTTCCGTGAGGGCTAAATTGGCATCAAAGAATGATCCTATGGTTCCAATATCCTCCCAATAGTCATTGAACAAAAATGCCTAGCCAATTCCATTTTGTATGTAGCAGCAAGTTAGTAAATATAAGAAGAAGACTGATATGTTAAGCTAAACAGAGAGGAAAAAAACAAAAAACCTGGACATTATGCTCCTTTACGGCCAATGGGATGATTTCAGAACCAAAGTCATTGGAAGTAGGATAACTCGATCTTAGAAGCTTAAGTAAGACCTCTTTTCTAAACACATAAACACCCATTGATGCAATGTATGGGAATTCTGCAGCTTCTTTTGGTGGTAGCCCAAGAATTGAAGTGTCAACTTGCTGAAAACACGGAAAAAAAACACAAGTTCATGTAACATTGCAAGCGCAATTGCGTTGTGAACGTTTTGAAAAAAAAAAAAAACAATCATTACCATTGCCTGTAAGTCATTTCCCTTTGGTTTTTCGGAGAACTGAACGATTTGTCCAGACTCGTCAATTTTAAGGAGCCCATAATCCGAAGCACGGCTGTGAATAAGAAAAAGTAAAATAAAAAAACTGGAGAAAATAATCAAGAAAGTAAGGCAAGAACATGGTTAATGATTGATCCTCAAACACACCTCTCATCCATGGGAAGACAAGAAACTGTGATATCAGCATTTGACTCAATGTGCTTCTGCAAAAGCAGACAAAAATGAAACAGAACTCTCATGAAGCTCAGTGTAAACAAATAAGAGGAATGAAACAAACCTGCACAAAGTTCATATAATCCATCCGATAGAGATGATCACCAGACAAGATCAAGACATGTTCCACATTCTTTGTCTTGGCATCCTGTTAAACACCACCAAATTATGTTTCCACCACATTTTTATGCACCGACAAGAACACTTAAAAGAGAATAAAAGAGCACCTCGAAGACCCATATGAATTGCCTAACAGCATCAGCAGTTCCCTGAAACCACTTCTTTCCTGCATCTCCTGAAGTTTGTGTTGCAGCAAGAACCTAGTCATTCACAGAGGAAACACTTTAATAACAAAACCACAGGAAGATAAAACTATTCTATTGCGGGTAATGCTATCACCTCAACAAACCCATCACCGAAATTAACTCCATTTCCAAAGTTGTAAGTGCGAGAAAGATGGCGATTGAGAGAGAAGGAGTTGAACTGAGTTAAGATGAAGATCTTTCTAATACCACTGTTGATGCAATTGCTCATCGGTATATCTATGAGCCTGTAACACCCTCCAATCGGCACCTACGTTCATCAACAAGTTCGGAACCTCATCGACAATAAAAATCAGAGAATCATCAAAGACAATGGGCAAAACAAAACGCTCCTCACCGCAGGTTTTGCTCTCTTGCTTGTAAGAGGGAACAAGCGAGTCCCAGCACCACCACCTAGTATAATAGATGCTACATTCTTTGGGTCTGCTCTTGGAGTTCTCAAGAGAGGTTCCTGAAAATGCATTTCTTCTTTATATCAAAAAAGGACTTGGAAGAAAAAATAGCTACTTAGGAACTTGTGTTGAAGTTGTAACTTCTCTTGCCCAACCAAGCCCTACAAATCAACACCAATTAAGATTCCTCACTCCTCACAAATCCATCACTCACTAGCTGCTCCCTAACCGACTCAGAAAAGTTACAATCTGCTACATTCAGTTCTAGACTAGTTATGGACCTATGGTAGACCTGTAGCTCAAATTCGAGCTATTGCATTTCTTCAAGTAGACCCATTGTGCCTTGGCTTATCAGTAACCTTAACTTCTACATAAGTCATCCACAAATGTCACCAGGCCTTGGGTTTATAAGGACTCTTAACACCATTAGAAGTCATTACAACACAGTCCAACTCAAACTCCAACAAAAATTGGACACGAAATCAGGCAAATTCAAATTGACCAGTAAAACTGACTTCAACTTATTTCAACGCACAACATAAACTACAATCCACTGAATACAAGGTTCAACATAGCCAATAAAAAGAAAAATTGGAATTGCAAGTGTAGATACATACATGAGACTCTTGATCAACAAATGGGGTGAGAACAGAGCAAATGAGCTTTGTCTGGATCTTTTGAGGTCCACTGCTAATTTTCTGTATCCTCAGATTACTGGCCTTGACAACTTCGGCTCCCCAGAACGCACTTGGTCTCTCAGAAACAACTTGTTTCTTCATACCAAAGGGACTCGTACACTGAAGCTTCATGGCTGAACAGTAAGACTCCATAATTTCTTAGAACAACTCAGATTTTCTCCAACTTCTCGAAGTAAAAACAATCAATGGAACTGAAGGAGCAGACGAAGACCAGAAACTTAAAAAAAAAAAAGCTTTAGAAATGCCCAGATCAAAAAGTGAAAATTTTTATATCCAGATTCGATTTGAGGGTTGTGAGTAGAGAATAGAATCAACAAGTCGACTAATTTAACAGTGGAACACCCCCTGAAAGTTCTCGCAAGTGGTGAGAAATGAGTGTGAGCTTTCAACTTTTAGACAGTAGAAGAAACGGAAAAGTGAGCGAGATCAAAGACAAAGAGATGTGTGTATTTATCAAAAGAAAAAAACAAAAAGAGAAGCAATGTGATGCGTATGATCCTCGTGATCTTCTGACGAGAACACCGCCAACCCTCGGAATTGTTTTTTTTTTTTTTGAAAGAAATCTCAAAAATCTAAAAGGGTTTTTGAAAACCGAGCCTACTTTTCACAGCGTATCTTCTTCAGTTGTCCATTTAAAGCATAAAACTATAGCAAATATCTAAGGGGTATTATTGGCATTACCACCACTGAAAATGAAAAAGATATGTTTCCCTTAACGGGATTTACAATTCGATTAAGTCAAATTCTTGTTAGGTAACTTAATCATCTGATTTTGGTCTTTAACGTGATTACTGTTTATGTAACAACTACTTTGGAGCTACATGAACTCTAAAAACTAAGTACATCGGTTGACCAATTAAATCTTGAAGGCTATATATTATTTACTATTCCACACAGTGTAACTCACCAAATCACCTTAGACTCCAAAAATATGGTGAGGAAAAAAATCCAGAACTCCGAATATTCAAAGAAATGGAAAAAAAAAACAGACTGTTATTGATTGGATGAAAATATATTTTGTTTTGACATAGAACAAATTACATAAGTTGATCCTTTTGAAATAAAGTAGAAATGTCTGACTACAATAGATAACATAAACTTTATTATATAAACCAAACAAAATAGATTCAGATGGATAATAGTTTTAGAGTATCCCTTAACTGAAGATGATTTTACTTTTTTTTTGTTTTGGGTAAAAATGTTAAAGATTACATTTTACATTGCAGACACTTTTTTTTTGTAATATTCAAATAACTAATGAATCTAGTCACTGACTCACTGATAAAATACAAGTGATACTCTATTATTATATAAAAACGTACAATGAATGTAGTAATTGAAGGTACAAAAAAATAATGGGGTACACAAAACACGTGTCAAGTTTCGTCCGGCGGTGTACGTTGCCCGAAGCGTGCTTATATATATTGGCCCGGTCGTTGCTGTACAGTGCAGCTTCACCTGCTCTTTCTCTCTTTGCCAACTCTTTCCAACCATTCTTCAGTCTTTTATTAATTATTACTTTATTATTCAAATTGTCTCCAATAATTCTATCGATTCTTCATATAATGAGTTTTTTATTTCTTTTTCCGGAATTGGACTTATTCACCTAATGCTTTTTTAGTCATCAAATTTCCACGACCAAACTATAAAGAAATATGATATATCCATTTGTTTCAATAATTCAACCACTTATATATAGATGTCTTTAATTATACCTCTCTATATAACATCTTCAACAAATGATTCATTTCCATTAGTGTGATTAGACAAGTAAAAAAAGTGACCATTCACTTTACTAAAACCTTCATTTGTCTCAAGAGAATTTAGAGAGAGAGAGAGAATTAAAATGGATTCGTTTGTTTCCGAGAATGTTGCGGCTGAGAAAGTTGTTGCCATGAAGAGGTTCGAGAGAAGGAGAAAGTTTTGGAAGTTTCTTCCTGTTATTGAAGCTCTCGTCGCCGTGTTACTCATACTCTCTTTGTTTACGTCGTCTCTCTCCGCCGGTGAGTATCTACGCCGGCTTATTTCCGGTGGTTTGACCGGCGGAATATTCATAATATTCGGAGTCGTGAACGTTCTCATAGCCCTGATATTCTCCTTATCTAACCACCAGAAGAAGAAGCTAATGATCGAACCTGATCTGTATTTTCAATACGTTTCCTCCTCCGCCGCTGCTCCTGTCGCCGCCGTAGTCTCGAAACCTTCGGCGTCTGAAAACGCAGAAAAGACTTCAGAGGTAAAGCCAAAGACGACGGACTCTCTCAGCTCCGTTACTCTGGAGAATAAAGAAACTATTTTAACCGCCGGAGAGGCTCGAATGGTGAGGCGAGAGATGGTCCGTGCGGTCAGTTCAGTGGCGGAGACAGCTGATCGTGCTATAAGGAGGAAGCGTGAAATGACTTTTCTGCCCGCAACTATGACTCATGATGATCATCATATTTACAGGAGGTCGAGATCAGAGAGGCTTAACCTACGGGGAGATCTTGGCCGGAGCATGAGACGGTTGTGCGAGATGGATGATCTGAGCAACGATGAGTTTCGATCAACGGTGGAGACTTTTATAGCAGGGAAGAAGAAGATGTTGTTGAAGGAATGGATGAAGCCGTGAAATGTTTATTCTAGCTTTTTTTTTTTTTTTTTTGTTTATTCTAGCTAGGAACACTATTATTATAGTATTATTATTAGCCTTTGATTAACGTTGAGTTTGGATATATATATTTCTTGTGAAATTGTGATCATTAGTAACAGTGGACGTAAATCATATATTTTTCTAGTAGGAGTGAAAACTTTCTTGTACGTTCCCTTATCTTAATCACTTCCTTTACCAGAGGTAAGATATGTGTAACTGAAAGATAATCATTTATTTAAAGACTCATCCGAATGGAATCGTTGCAGAGAACCAAGCTGCTTTTGTTCCAGGTCGAATGATAACAGATAATATTATCATAGCACATGAACTATATCATTCCATCAAAGCAAGAAAACGTCAATCGAAGTCATACATGACTTTGAAAACAGACATCACCAAAGCATATGATAGATTGGAATGGAGATTCCTCACAGAAACAATGCAGAGAATGGGGTTCGATCAGAAGTGGATTCAGTGGATTATGACTTGTGTTGCCTCAGTTACCTATTCAGTCCAAATTAATGGTTATCCAAAGGGTTTTATCCAACCCAAACGAGGCTTAAGACAGGGAGATCCGCTAAGCCCTTATCTATTCATTCTTTGTGCAGAGGTACTTTCACATCAAATGTTAAGAGCAATGACAGAAAGAAAGATCCCGTGTTTAAAGATTAGTATTCACAGCCCTGCAGTCAACCATTTATTATTTATTTGCAGATGATTCCCTTTTATTTACTTTGGCAAATCCAAAATCTGGCAGAGCTATAAAGAGAGTGCTTGCTTTATACGAAGCTACCTCAGGTCAAGCGATAAATCTTAACAAATCTACAATAACATTTGCTTCTCGCGTCCACAATAATGTCAAGACTCAAATGCGTAGATTGCTAGGCATCTACAATGATGGAGGAGGTGGAAAATATCTTGGAGTTCCAGAATTATTTGGAAGGAAAAAGGCTGATCTATTTCAATATATCTTAGAAAAGGTACAAGCAAAAACACAAGGATGGGATAAAAAGTTTCTTTCGCATGGAGGAAAAGAAATTTTACTGAAATCAGTTGCTATATCCATGCCTGTGTACTCAATGAATGTCTTCAAACTTCCAAAAAGGATTTGTGAAGAAATAAATGGGGTTTTGGCCAAATTTTGGTGGGGTAAAGGAGGTGATACTAAAGGTATGCATTGGTTTGCTTGGAACAGACTATGTACACCAAAAAAAGAAGGGGGGGGGGGTTGGGATTCAGAGATTTTGAAAACTTCAATCTAGCTTTACTTGGGAAACAGGTTTGGAGAATTCTACAGAATCCACATTGTTTAATGGCAAGGATTCTCAAAAGCAGATACTTCTCGGAACAGAGTGTACTTACTGCTAAAGAGGGGAGAAAAAACTCCTATATCTGGAAAATCACTTTTGCAAGGCCGTGACTTATTATTGAAAGGTTTGAGATTCAATATTGGCAATGGAAAGACAGTGAGCGCCTGGATTGACCCTTGGCTTCCTACTACACCACCTCGACCTCCAAGACCTCTACAGCAAAATCCGGATCATTGCTTTGTCAATGATTGGATAACAGATAACTTTCTGTGGGATGAAGAGAAAATACGAAGTGTGGTAATTGAAGAAGATGCAAACATCATCTTAGCTATGAGAATAAATGCCCGGAATACAAGAGATTATTTAGGATGGCATTACAATTCTTCAGGTCTTTATACAGTCAAATCGGCTTACTGGGTAGCCACACATGCCAACACAGATAATAGACCGACCCCTCCACCTGGTGATTCAGTTCTTAAAGCCAAAATATGGAAACTGCATACAGCTCCTAAACTGAAACATTTCCTCTGGAAGATGCTTTCACAAGCATTACCAATTGGTGAGTGTCTTAGGAAAAGACATATTACCAGAAATTCTCAGTGTCCAAGATGCCAAAACAGGGAGGAAACTATTTCACATGTGATGTTTGAATGCTACTATGCACAAAACACATGGAGAGCTTCAGGTTATCCAAACCTTTCCATCATTGATCCGGTCTTATCTTTAGAACAAAAAATGGAGATTCTGATCACACAACATGACACAATGCCTCTACATGTTCATCAATTGGGTTTCTGGATATTATGGAGGTTATGGAAGAGTCGTAATACTCTGATTTACCAGAAAAAAACAACTTCATGGAGGCAACTAATACAATGGGCAAGAGATGATACAAAGGAGTGGCAGGATACTTTTGACTTGGTCTCTAACAGACAAGCTCGAATTCAACGCAATATCATACCATCAACAAGTCAAACAACATTTTGGAAACGACCATTAAGGGGATGGGTGAAGTGCAACTATGACGGATCATATTGTTCAAACAAAAGATACAACAATGCAGGGTGGATAATCAGAGATGAAAAAGGAATCTACTTAGGAGCTGGTCAAGCAAAACACTTATCGGCCAATAATGCACTTGAATGTGAGTTTCAAGCACTATTTTCGCTCTGCAAAATTGCTGGTGCAAAGGATATCGGAAAGTTGTTTTTGAAGGTGACTCTCAAATGGTGGTTAATCTTATTTTGGGGAAAACAATCAACTTTGGAATCTACAACTGGGTATGGGAAGTGAGAGAATGGAGCAAGAAGTTCCAAGAAGTCAAATTTGCATGGGTGCCAAGAAATGCAAATCAACCGGCTGATTCTCTAGCTAAGCAACAAGTTTCAAATCATGGCAACTTTTATTTTCATAGCTATGTTCCCTCTAATATTATCAATGTATTACATAATGACTATGTCTGTTCTTCTTAATAATAATAATACAGACGTTAAAAAAAAAAAAAAGAAAGGAAATTTACTCCTTGATGAGATCGTTGATGGGCTTCAGAAAAACGTAAGGCCCAACCAGAAGTCGAACCCAGGTCGCTGGATTCAAAGTCCAGAGTGCTAACCATTACACCATAAGAACACGTTTTGTTGTCTATAGACGGTAAAAACTGTATAAATTAATAATATTAGAACTTTGATATTTTATTAATTTATGGAGTTATTAATTTATAAATTTCAAAAAAAAAAATATTTCTTATTTCTCATTAATTTTTTTAAAAATTGTATAATTTTAAAAAGTTTCTTTCTAAAATTTAAGATGAGTTTCAAAAAAAATTTAATTTAAATGAATAGAAAACATCACTAAAATACGAATAGATTATTTTATGTATATGTTTAAACAAGAATTTGTTTATGGTAAATATTAATTTATGATATTAATGGGACCATATATTTACATATAAATTTTGTTAAAGTTATTATCTTATTATCTTATCGAATTGTGTCGGCACAATTCCAAACTATAAAAAATTATTAATTTATAGTGTTTATTAATTTATTGAGTATTAATTTATAGAGTTTCTACTGGTATGTTAAACTCTTCAACGTCGATATAATCGATTTATATATTTTGCTAATGGCATGCAAATTTAAAGCAAGAGAAATAAATGTTTAGATAAAGCTCAAGAAATATATAGTGAGAAATATTTTTTTTGGTTAATATTTAATTGGGTTTCAATCAATATTTAATTGTTTTTTTGGGACTAAGAAACCATCCTAAATCCTGCGATAATGATGGTCTTAGGTATCCATTGGAACATTAAAGAGATTTTTGAGTGCAACGAAAACTAGCAAAAGTGGCCTAAACTACTTGCCTAAAGGTGTTCATGCCAATTTTCTTTTATCATGTAAGATTGAATTAATGACATTGTTTAGAAACCAAGTGGGGGTTTGTTTATTTCTCATTGTCGTTGCGGTTTAAGCAAATTATTTAGTAGTACCAGTAATTTAATTTAGTATTATGGACTAACTTAACGCCAATATAGTTTAGTTTAATGGAATTATGTAGCACCAAGCATTTACTTTTTTTGTGTTCTTTCCTTGATATGAAACAAACATTTGCATGGATCTTATGGTTCCTCGGACTACTTTTAGAAGTGTTTGGGTCCAATCCTACAAAAAGTCAGATAACTCGATGGGTAATGTGATAGAACTTTGATGTAATTCTATCGATAATCTATCTTTCTCTGGATAATTGTTCAATACTAAAATATCTTTCCTCTCATATCTGTAACCGTATCAGTTACGCACTCATAACGTACGTAACAGAATACAAAGCTCATAACGCTCTTCTACATACAAAATACGATACCTCTACTCGTACAATACTTTCTCTATTTATACTACTTTAATTTCTCTCCTTCTTCACGCACATGCTCCATGCGCTGCTTCTATTTACCTCTTCACTCTTTCACTGTCTTCTCTCGTCTTGAGTATACATTGAAGGGCTTATCAATACCCCCCCCCTCCCTTTAAAACGGATCTTGTCCTCAAGATCAAAGTCTGCAAACTGCTGTTTCACTTCCTTGGCAAGCATCCAACTTGTCTCGTGCGAGGGTAAATTCTTCCATGATAACAACACTTCCAATGCACCTTTCTAATTATAACGCATGTCCAATAAGTCCTCTGGTTCGACCACTAATTCATCATCAGCCGAAAGTTCTTGTGGCAAAGGCAGAACCATATAGTCTTTTCCCAATGCGGCTTTCAGTTGTGAGATATGGAAAACGGGGTGTATGCGAGATCCATCAGGAAGTTTAAGCCGATATGCTGCTTTGCCAATCCTCTCCAAAACTTCAAATGGCCCATAAAAACGAGCCGCAAGTTTCTGGCATATCCGACGAGCTACGGACATTTGACGATATGGTCGCAGCTTAAGAAAAACCTGTGAACCCACTTCGAACTCCACATCTCTTCTATGTTTATCCGCCTGAGTCTTCATCTGTTGTTGAGCCCGTAATAGATGTGCCTGAATCTGATGCAACATCATATCACGGTCTTTAAGCATTTTTTCCAACTCGAAGTTATTTGTAGAGCCTTCTTCAAACTTCACAATAGCAGGAGGTTCACGTCCATATACAACTATAAAAGGTGATGTCTTTAGCGCAGTGTGAAAGTTGGTGTTGTACCCAA